TTGAGCTTTAAATGGCCACTGTTGATTCTGACAAAGTGGTATGCGGGGTACTCACGTCATGACAGTGGCAGTTCTAGTTGATATTAATAATACTGAACAAAGCGATGCACTTGCATCAATTGTAACTTCCATTGACAAAGTATATATAAATAACATTGAAATGTATTCTGTTTCTGCATTATCCGAATCTGAACCGGAAGATACAGACCTTAAAACTTAAAATCTTCTCCTCAGAATTGACAAAGGCTAGAGGTTAGATATTTGTCATGATACATTTGGTAGTGAACCTCTATCAAGATTATTCACGTTACAGAATAATTAAAATTAGCCTAACCCCTGGGGTCATATATTAAAGTTTTCCTTATATTTATATAGCAAAAACTTAAAAAAAATCTTTTTAATAGAAGGTTTAAGGCTTAGAGCTTAGATACTTGGTAAATAATATCATCAGTTAGTCCTTTACAAAAACTGTTCAAATGTTGCCCCTAGTGAAATAGCACTAGGGTGTCTTAGGTTTTCCTCAAATGTATATACATGTATAGAAAAAAACTTAAACAATATTCTCCTCTGAATTGACAAAGACTAGAAGTAAGATATTTGGCATGAAACATAGTCTACCTCTACCAAGATTGTTTTAATTTTAGCCCTTGGATAAAATTTGCCTTGTGCGAGGGTTGGGGGAGTGAGTCATTAATTTTCGTTATGTACTTGTAGTAAAAATTTAAGAATGTACAAGGCTAGAGCTTATGGCTTTGATGCCTAAATTTTGTCAAGTACAAATGCTTTTATTTTAAATCAATAATTGCACTAGTCTGTAGGAACAAAACCTCTTTCTTGTCTTATTAATAACTTGAGAAGAAATAAGCCTAGATTTGTGTTCGGAATCGACTGTAACCAGAAGATGACTTCTATTGAGTTCAGTAGATTAAAATCACATGGTCTTGATAAAACAAATATTGTCAAGCAATGTATACCTCAGTGCTTGCAGCGCTTTGATTATAAATGGTTTCAGGCGCAATACAATGTACCCCCACTGTCTCCGCTTGTAGCTCTGTACTGACCATGTATCATTTGGATATTCTCATGAATATATTACTTGAAAAATAAATGTTGATAAAATTGCCAGTGATTTAGTACGAACATTTAAATGATGAATATACATTGTAGTACAAATCATAATACACATGAATCCCATTTTTGTTTGCTTAAAATGTTTCTGTGATCATATTCCAACAACATGCCAAGTTTAAAGAAATTCTATAGAACAGTTTTATTTTTTCCTATATGTCTATATGAAAACTCCGGAAAACGTCCTAAGTGGATTTACACTTCTCGTGTTAAGTAAAATAAATTGAAATATATAAATATTTCAAGCAATATGTGTTTTCTTTCCAATGTCTCATTACCTCAAATTTAAAATGTTCTTATGACATTGAGTGTCGCCGGAACCAGGGTACCAACTAACAAGTTGTTCGAATACACTTTTTGATATTTGTAATACTGAACAAAGCAATGCACTTGCATCAATTGTAACTTCCATTGAAAAAGTATATATATCTATATATTGCAAAAATTGAAATGCAATGGGAACATTCTGTTTCTGCTTTATCTAAATCTGAACCGAAGAATACAGACCAAGTATAAACGATTGCAAATGAGAATGAAACCTTATATTCAGGAGCAATTGGTTGTCAAGTGCATCTTAAAAGAATTAATCTTTTTCTTCTAGTAAAGTTCCGATTAAAAATAATAATACGCTACATCACATTGAGTATATTTTAAATTGGTTCCTCGTCTCTGCTGTGCAGTTGAACATTTTTTTTTTCACGTACTGAAATGCACATTTCTGTTATATTCTACCATAAAGGATGTATGTGAATTATCTCATTTTTATACCTTGCACTTCCCAGTTCGCTTGCAAATAAACAAGAAAAAAGGTTTACGTGTCCATAATTTCCAAAGGGTTGACAAATATTTCTGTGGAACAAAAAAATGACGTCACAGTGGTATGTGTATGAAAAAAATGCACCGTATCCCATAGTTGCATACCTTTCCACCCTCCTTTCGATACCCAGACCGCTGGATCATGAAAGGAAGTTGGCATTTATATGTTCCGTAACTGAATTAATCAGCATTTACAATACACATAGATCCATGTCTGCCTTCACATCCTTGCACTCTGATTGTCCAGGCACTTTACTGTGTTCAGACCTGTGTCTCGTGTGCATAACGTTCTCTAGTAAAAACACCGAAATGTGACACAGTATATTAAGCTTTAAAACAGAATTAAACAATGCAGTTGCAATGTACCCCCAAATGTCCTGGACATGTCTGCATTATACATAGTAAATTCCCAATATGACTTCTTTACTTATTAAGATAACATTATCATGATCAAGAAAAAGTGATCAGACATGGTAGAAAGTCTGTGGAAATGAGTTAAGTATTACATCCACTATATTTGGGGGAATGTGGGTTGATTGTATCCATCCTTTTTCTATTTTTCACACCATTACATACCATACCATACCATACCTTTCCATAAGGAAAAGGGCTAATAATCCAAAACGTGTGATGATGTTCATGGGGAGAAGGTAAAATAATAGCAGCATATGAGGTAACGAACAATAAATCAGTAGAATCCGATACAAAACTAATGGTAATTAAAATAAGCTTAAAGACTTATGCATTATTCCCCAAATATATCTAATGTTAATATAGGACCTAGTTACGTAAATAAGGCAGAAATTCGAAACTGTATCAATCATTAGTGACAGGAATACATTTAAAAGAGCTACCCTATTGATATTTCGTTCATTACTATTGTTTAATTTAATTGATATTACATATTATATTACAGATTTATTTATAGAATTCAAAACTCGTACCTGAACAAGCAGAAAAATAGTTTTTATTTTACCAAATGCAAATATGGCTTATCCTATAGAAAAGAGTTGCTATTAGCAATGATATATCTTATTATTCAAAGTTAAGGTTTAAACGGTTTATAGGTAGGATTCGTTAGACGTGTAAAACCGGAGAAAATGTTCATCGAGTTACATAAATATATATATAGTTTTGCTAACGGAAGAACTTGATGTATCTAAATTTTCCTTATGAGCCTTCTCATTTACAACGGAACTTCGTCCCCAACTCATGGCCATTAAAGCAAACGTAGAAGGTTCCGATTTGTCTCTTTTCATTTGTTCATACACAATAATCAATATTTATGTACAATGCCCATCCCTTGTCGACCTTACTCTATTCCTATCTTTTCCAACGTTAAGAATCGTATACATCAGTGGTCTCTTCAAGCAACAACTTAAACAGAACCGAAATATTCACTAAAGTTTGCACACCTTCCTGACTGTTGAACTTGAACAAAATCTGAAGAACATGAATGACTTTGAATATACTTTAATTTTATTTTTCAGTTACTTTATTTGTTTTTATTTTTCGAAATGAATGTCGAATATATGGTAGAAATATGGAGTAAATGGATGGTTCGTAAAACTGTGTTTTTGTTTTTTTTGTTTTTTTTTAATATAGTTATGAATTGTATATGTGTGTATGTTTCTATCGTTATGCTTCAAATATGACATAATGAAAAGAAGAACATAAATGTCATGACGTGAAAAGAAATATACAACCAACATGACCAATACAATGTAAATAAGTTGGAATATATGAATTATAGAGACATTTAACTTGAAAGGATACAAACTATCGAAACGGACTTTATTCTCAGACTAAGCTTCAAGATTTGTAGTTAAATAATTCAAAATAGATTGTTTGTGTTAAAGAGATGCCAATTTATTATCACATTTATCAATACGATTGAATAATCAAAATCTTAATTTGTAAGATTATTCTTCTTTGTGAACAACAGAGCAAAGTAACGACCTAAAGAAAAAAGCCAGAATATTTAACTATTACATTGTGTATAACATGCTTTTTATTAAAATACCTGATCAAAAATAAATATCTTTACCTGGACAAACAATGTTGTCGCAAGATTTTGTTTGTGATGTTTCATTTCCACATACTGCAGAACAATTTCTTATTCGGACAGTTTTGCAAACACCATACGTTTCCATAGAACATCTCCAATCGCTCCAAGCTGAACGCAAATTGTCAAAATCAGACTAATAACAATATGTTGACTTGTCACACCTAATTTCTATAATTTCTGTTAAAAATACATTATCTAACTTTTGATGTACATGCTGAATTTTGTTCATCAAGTTAGAGGAAGTATAATATTTTGTGTTGCTGTGCCATGTACCGCATTTATTGGGGGAAAGTCATCATCTTAGAGAATCTACGTAAGCTATAACCTACATAGATCCCAAACTCGTAAACGGTTTGAAAAGGGGCGGCAGCCCCTCTCATCGCCAAGAAAATAAATTTAGGACTTGTGAGAGGCTAAAAATGACCCTCGATCGATCATAAGGTAACGTTTAACCAATGCTGAAAAACCTTTATATCTATCTCAATCTACTGAGAAGTTGCAGCACTTAAAATTCAATTTTGATGGAAAAAATCAACGCAAAATAGCATTTGTTGGCAATTTTGAGATGTCCCCTCATTGCCAAGGTAACGGAAAATTTAAGACTGAGCGTATTTTTACAAAGGCAATGGTCCAGTCAACTTTGTGCCAAGTTTGATTAGTATTGAAGCAGTTTTTATAGTTTTGTAGCAATTTGAAGTTGTAACGGGAGACTTTTCAATGAAAACAGCCATTTCTTCACAAAATGCTCATGCAGTAATGGGTTAACGTATAACATTTGAAATGGCATGCATTTGTTTATAAGATATGCCATGAACAATTACATGGATATATTTGCTTGACAAACAGTAGAATATAGAAAGAATTAATTTTCTACCAAGGTAAGTCATTCGCATGTTATTAACTATTATATCTGCTTGGAGATTGGTGGTTCATCTCTACTGTCATTAAAAGCTAATTTATATAACACAAACAAACACACAATGATTCGTTTTTCATTTTATAAAACAAATAATATAGTTGGTACTGCTGAACATCTAACCAGAGCATGCGTTCCCACATGATCGTAATTCAAAATCCTCGCCGTGGCAACGTTTCCCCGTCTTGTTGTATAAACAAGTTCTATACCGTGTCATGACACATAAACCTTGTTCATCATGATTACATTCCCATGAACTCCAGTTAGACCACAGTGCTGTTACAGGTGAACCTGTCGTAGTTACATCTGTAAAATATGAAACTAAATAATAGGCGAGCCAAAGCTATACTGAAATCAAATGCCTTTCGTTCAAGTATTCATTTTCTGCATATATGAAGAATTACACCATTGTATCAATTCTTGTTGTATATATTTATTATTTAACACATACGGCAGCCCGAGCTATCCAACCATGTCCATCTGTAAAAGGCAGAGTAAATGGCCCTGAGAAATGATTTGTATGCACACAATTGTGTCATAAATAGACTATTTCTTTAAATATTTAATACTTAGTTACGAACATGATTCATTGATCAAACTATTTATATTTAAGATTTTCATTCAATAGATCATACATAGTAAAGTATAATAAAAATATCTTCGTTTTTAAGAAAATATCTTAGTTTATAGGAAATTAACTTTCGGCTTGCCGGACAATATTCCCTTGCAATATTACAAGTACAAAGCTCTTCAACCAATTGATTGATTGTAATTTAAAAAAAATTAGGAGATAATATTCGTATTTTCTGATATCTTAGACAAATCATAACATTTAAGATGAACTGGAGGGAATATTTTATTAGTCAATAGCCATTTTTTTTTCATTTTAAAAACAAACAATACTTTTGGTACTGCTGAACATCTTACCAGAGCATGTGTTCCCACATGAGCGTAATTCGTAATCCTGGCCTGGGCAATGATGACTCGCCTTGTTATCTAAACAAGTTCTATACCGTGACATGACACATAAGCCTTGTTCATAATGACATTCCCATGGACCCCAGTTAGACCACACTGCTATCGCAGTTGTACCTATTGTGGTTATATCTGTGAAAATGAAGCTAAATGATAGGTGAGACAAATCGGTACTGAAATCAAATGCCTTCGGTTCAATAATATGTTCTCCAATATAAAAAATATGTCTACATTCTCGATGCATTTATTCATCTTTACAATCTTAACATACGTCAGTTCAAGCTATACCACCGTGTCCATATGGGAAAACAAATGGCAGAATAACTCACCCGAGAAATGTTTTGTAGACACACAATTGTTTCATAAGTTAACTATTTTCTTCAATATTTGATATATCATATTATGAAATATTGACATAATTTATGAATAAAACTATTAATTTGTATATAAAGATTTTCATTCGATACGTACATCATACAATCGTTATGTCTCGTAAATATATCTTCGTTGTGAGAAAAAAATCATTTTATAGGAAATTAACATTGACTGACAGGAAATAATTCTGTGCAATATTGCGAAAAGAAGTTTTTTTTTTCAATTTTATTTTACTGATATTTGTACATACATGGGCATATTTCTCCCCGGCATGGTTGTATTTCATAATGAGACCCTAAAAGTTTTCTCTCGCAATCATTGGGCTCATAATTTGAACAGTTCCTGGTTCTCGACATCAAGCAGATAGGAATATTCTTACAGTCCCAATCCGACCATTCGAGCCAATATATTGATGAAGATGTAGATGACATGAAGTATTGGAGATTTGTTGATGACATTGTAGCCCTGCTTGATCTTAATGATTGTGTATTTGTGAACGAATAGGTCGTAACCACCGAAGATGAGGTAATTGATAACGTTGTTGGCATCGACGTTGATGTTCCCTGCAGGTCTAGTAGACATGGTTACGATAAACTTATAATAAGTTGATGATACGAAAGTTGAAAAAATTAAGAATTTAATATGTAATCTTAGTGAAATTAGTCGACCTTATTTTCTTATTATAACTATAGAACGAATATCATTTCTAGGAATTAAACATACTGACATCTTTACTCGTGTATACAGAATTTTTAAGTCTTTTATTTCAAAAACGTACAGTTAAAAAAGAATAAATATGAGATGTTTTAATTAGATCAAAACATTTTATTCAGAACAATTTAAACATAAGTACACATATAGAACAGATGGGACGACACTCAAGAAAAGCAGCTCAACTAACATAATATAACGACTACATGTACCGAGTTTAAACAAGAAAATTATGATTGTCCGAGATAGTTCACCCGAGAATTTGATATCATGGGTAAGAATTTATAATCAGGACATTAAAACTAACAATAATATTTTGTCAAAATCAGCCAAATGGTTTATGGTTTATGTTATGCCATGTAAATTTTGTTGTTATTGTTGTTGTTGTTGTATGTATGTAGCATGTAACTATCTAGTTCAGCAGACTGTAGTAATATAGATATTTTTCAAGTACTATTGTCGGCAGGAAACATGTCTGTATTTCCTTTTACTTTCTTTCTGTTTATCTGGTTGTCTACATATGCAGATAATTCCACCGAATTTAGCTTTTATTTTTAAAGAATATCGCTAAACTATGATTCCTTCAAATTATGTTGACTCATACCTTGTTTTTGGCATACTTCCAACTTGCATAACATTTGCCTTCTCTTTTGCTTTCATTAATTTATAGATGATATATAGAAACTATCCACCTAGTAAATAGATCATCTTTACACAATCTTCTTCATATACATTTAAATCCTTTCTGGCCATTTTATAAATTGTTTTTGAACGACGATGGTCCCAGATATACCATTTTTGAGCTACCATATGAGATGGATACGGACAAATCATAGACAAATACAATATACAGTATATTGATATCAAGATTGGTTTTAGGTACCTTAAGAATGTAGCTAAAAGTAATATGAGAATTTCGGACAAGATGCTGCTCCAAAAGTCTCAGAACATCGTGTTCAAAATATACAAAACACAACGGCTTTAGCAATATATCTAGCTAATGACATAACACAATAAGAAGCTTACCCCTACATATCAGCCCATCGCAATGTTTTAATGAGTAATCTGATCCTTTACATTCATTCCGAGAGCCAGAGCATTTTCTCCATCTTAGCTGCGTACATTCACCACTCATTAAATGACACTCCCAAGTCCCCCACTCTAGCCAATGGGAGGAAGGTGTTGTAGATGGAACAAGAGTTGTTGATGACGTGGTTGATTCTGAAATAAACTGTTAGAGCATTATTGTTACTTATATCAATAGATGATAATACGATATTGAAATATACATATCTGATTCAGCAACGTAGGTTCGTTTGTTTGATATGGTTTTACGTAGCACCAAGAACTTAGGTCATGCGGCGCCGAACAGGAAACGTTATTTTGGCTATAACCTCATGTCTTAAAATAAGCAACACTGTGGATCAATTCCACCACACCTGTTGGAGAAATGAAGTGCATAGACTCCAGTAATTCAAACAACTAAGTCGCCACTTACGATCACGCAGAAATAAACTGTGACTGGACTTCTGATGCAACAACCCTTGGAGGCAACGCAACCCATCAGCCACAAGGGGTAGCATCGTAGGAAATTATCCGAGAATATCCTACTATATAATGCAGGATTATTCATCGTTTTCATATCCGGTGGTAACTGTTCTTTCTTACTTGAAGGAGAAGTATGCTTTTCTTTTTTATGTTCTGACAACATGCTGGTATAACACTACAGTCATATTATCTACTTTTCTTCTTTACATAAAATAGTTCGACATTTGCTTTGACAGTAAGATAATTTCAAGGTTCATGAAAATTATGTAAAGAACTTTTGGGAGAAACATGTGATTCCAAAACAGCATTGACATACTTAATGTGAGGTAAGAGTAACAAATATTTGTGTTTTACAAAATTTATTTGCAACCAGATATTTATGTTCATTGACTTTACCTTCTATCCTACATCGGCATGTCGTCATATCAGTCCATACATTGACTGTGTATTCGTTTCCTCCCCTGACAATACATTCTTGCATATTCTGGGCTGAACAGTTTCTGCTTCTTGACAGAATGCATCGTCCTGCTACTATAGAACACTGTTCGCTGCCCCACTCTCCCCATTGTGCAACAGCAGGATTAAGAAATGATTCTGTAAACCGTAAGATATGTTGTTATCATTTCTCCTGTCGAGTCATAGATGATATCATGCCTTATTTATTTGTAAACAAGAATCATTTATCGTGTTTTTACTTGACATAGATAATTTGTAAATAAAGCTTTTTATTTACTTGCGAAATACGGGTTCAAAATCAAAATTTTGCATACATTTCATTTTCATATTTGAATAAATCGTCAACATTTCTTGGATATACCAAATATCATATCGGCTGATGCATTTCTTTTTGAACATCTTGCTAATTACCTATACGTTAGCCAGCTAACGAATAGTGGAGGAAATGCTTGGTAAGATTTATTTTCTTCATACTTTGCATTAGTTATTCTCTTTGTACTTTGCATTTGGGAATCTTGACTTTCTATAAATTAATTCATATTTGCATGGACCAGAGGCCTAAAAGTAAAGCAAAAATACAGTTTTGTTCCGTTAGCTTTTGTTTTGTTTTCGATTCAAAAGATGAACATAGTTTTAAACATCATGTTTTCATTTTGTAACCGTTTACATATCGCAACACATATTATATAGGCGTATATTGCCTTAATTGTTTTTGTCTCTACAATGGTCGGTGTGCGGCTACTGAACTTAAACAAAACAAATCTTTTGAAGCGATCGTTTTTAAAATATGATGTTTACCTGCATAAACGAAGCATAATCCTAATAAAATTGTGCATTTAGCAGTAAACGTCAATATTTTGCAAAATAATTTTGACATGTTAAACATGCTTGTCAAAATAAGATGAATTTCGACCTAATATTACACGATAAGATTAACACGAGTGCACAATTCAAAATGACTAAGATAAGGATAAAGGTCCAATATCTGTTTAAAGCGTGACATTTAAACAAATAAACTTATTTCGAGAGACACAAAAATAAATACATTTAATATGCCTTTCAACCAAAAATATGTTTCCAAAAATGAGTATATTACTTAGTTCAAAATTCTTTTAGATGGTCCCGCGTGTACAAAAAGTACATTTGCATTTTAACTTTAGAATTTAACAGACCTGATTAGTTCTTCAACTAGAGTGAATTGTAGAAGAACGTTTTGTTAATTTTGTTTAAAATCGAAGAGCATTAGGTAACACTTTTTTATCTTTAAAATCAAATCGGCCAATTGGCACACTTTTTATCTGTCTAATTAATAGTATTTGATTCCTTATTTTTCCAAACTTTTCTCTTTTTTTGCAATTATCGGTAAAATAAATCATTAAGAGCACAATTAAAAAGTTTAAATGTAATTGCAACATCTTTGTATCTCATTTTATGACACAATTCTTAAGTAAAGAAGAACTGACATGGAGAAGAATTTTGTTTTCGAATCTGGTCTTGCTTTCTTGTAATATGTACATACTTATATATGAATGATTTATCGTATTAACATAAAGCTGGCGTAGACATTAGCCAAACTACTGTATCATTACACAGCTTACATTAGCTGTTAAAATTTGACTGAGGTAATTCTTAAGATGTAACGCCTAATTTATGAATGATGGATCGAAACATCACTAGTTATCATAAAAAAGTCGTTTACTTACTATTAATGTGTAAATATGTTTCAATTTTGTAGCGCAGGTTGGTGTTCCTTATCCAATCTTTGTTGTTCGACGTCCTTATCCGAAGTTCGAAAAAACATTTTGAAACATGTACCTGCCTAAACAAATGTAAAATAAGTGTAGAAAATGAAGTTGATTTATTGATTAAGGAATGGTTAGATAGTTCCGACTGACCATACAGATTTACTGAACATGTTTAAGTATTTCTAAACATATTTATAATAAAACATTTTTCGTTTTAATATAAACGCGAAATCTGAAATTTTGCTAACAAAATGTTTAATTCAGACATGAAAGAGAGTTATACAAATTTCTTTCCAAAATGAATTCATTTCCAAATAATGACAAAAGAAAATCTTTTTGTTGAAAAGTATAGTAATTGATCCTTTTAAAATACTAGTATGAACAAAATACCGTAATAAAACTATCAATTTAAAAAACTGGCGACCTTAACTTCTTAACATTTTAACAAATTCAACTTCATGTAATCTTGAATTCAATTTGTGGAGTAGATTTTTCAAATGCGCGAATGTACTAAATCATACTTAGATAATAAATTCATGACGTTAACATTCTTGATTTATTTACTTGAAAGTAAATTTTTGTAAAAAGCTCAAACTTGTAAATGTATTCGACCGTATTAATCCGTCTAAAAATAGCGGCGCCATATAAAGGGTAACTGATGCATACTGTATCAAATTCAAAACTTTATATTCAATACAAAATAATGTAAAAAGGAAGTTTTGAACAAGTTTTATTTTGCAAGGATTAAACAGATAGGTATGCTTTACCACCATTGTTGTTTAAATAATGTTTAGTGATATTAAAAAAAAAAGATATTTTGCTTCATGAAAAACGGATAGGATATTATTGTAAGAACATTTTGACTCTTTATTATTTTAAAACTTTATAATTTTAATGTCACACTACTTTTGTTTAAGCTTAAAAGTTCATTAATACTTCATGTTTAAAATGTCTAAAACTGAGCATAACCTCTAAGACTAAGAATATACTTAAAGTGTCATTTTGACTCTAAGGTTAAAGACACAACCAAGGAACGAAATTGACAAAAACAGCATTGTATAATTATGTTCAACGTTTATAGTTGTAAGCATTCTAATAAGTTGATCACACCTTTATCAATATTCATACAATCCTTTTCTTTAGATTATATTCCCTACATGGACGCGGAACATGTTTTCTAAGGAAACTTTAGCATTAGTACTAGCACTGTTCGTTGATATGGTATTTGCCGGTAAGTAGTTCATAACAATTTTAACTGTGCAATATGTTTTCGTTATTGCCTTAGATATTGAAAGCTTTTATCCATATGATACCCAGTTGAAGAGAAAGATTAACTTTAAGTTATTTTAATTGTCACGTCTATTAAACTGAGTATGGATATAATTGGTTTATTATATTGTATCTATGGTACTATATATAATATATGTAAAAAGACAAAATATATAAATGTTTACAGAATGTTCAGTTGGCTGCCAAACATGCTCTGGTTCAACTTGCACAAGTTGTAAATCATCTTACTTTTTATCAAATGGCTTGTGTTCATCATGTCCCGAAAATTGTGAAAGTTGTAATACTACCGATGACTTTACTTTATGTAAAAACCAATATTGTATGGTTTTACATGCAAGATGTGTTTTTTCAGCTGTGATGCTAATTGTCTAAACAGTGAATTCAAGATGATACTGGATATTGTACTCAATGTAAGCCTAGTTTTTATGGATATTATTGTCAACACAATTTAGTGTTTGTGCCAGTGAACGTTGTGATTACGTACATGTTCAAGTGTTTGTAGAGATGGATATTATGAGTATAAAACTGGGTTCGAAACAATATGCAAATATGTCTGTCAAATTGTAACATTGTACAAATGGAAAAGCATGTCAATATTTGCAATAATGGTTTTTACCTCTATAAGTTAAATGACAATGTTTCATTGTGTATTCGTGTTTCCAAGAATCGCAATGTCCGGACTGTGTAATTTCAAGGTTGTAACCAGTGTGAAATTACACAATGATTCATTAAGTCCCTGCGCTGATTGTCCCAGAAGGACAAAAATTTAATGGTTCTAAACATCGCGATCACAACACATTCATTGTGCTCAAAAGAATGTTCCTACGAATTGTGACAGTACTGGGAACAATGTCAAGGAGAATTGTAATGAGGGCTGGACTGGTGAGAAATGTTCCAAAGAATGTAAACAGCAAATGTTTAAAAGTGCACAAAAGACAACGGGGAATAGTTGTTGCTGCTGTGTAAAGGTAATTTTTACTCAAACGGATTGCAGTTTTAGCCTGCAACCCCATCATGCATAGAAAAAATGGTCATCATACATGTGAACATGGCAGAGGGATATTGTTTAAACGGATGTAACCAAACCTATTGGGGCGACCTTTGTGATAAACCCTGTCCTGATGGATGTAAAGATCTTAAATGTGATAGAAACCATGGTACATGTACGGGTGGATGTAAGGATGGTCTAATAGGAGATGGATGTTCTAAAACCACCACAGTCGCTATACAAGGTGCATATGATTGCTGTTTTGAATTCATTTTAAATAAATCAATAAAATTTATAAGTGAGACATTTTGATTAAATCATATTCATAATTAACACAAATATTAAATATTTTTTTTAATTATATGCCCTTTCTAATATGGCATTAAATGTGATATTGGAAATACTATTTGTCTTGTTTATACGAGTAAGAATTACCTTCAAGTTGGAAGTTGGTAACTACGAGTATTACGTGTTTTGTAGTTGTTTATGCGATCGAAGATTTTAACTCATGTAAGGAAACCTTAACACATGCACATATAATACTTACTAAATTACACTAAATCAAACTCATCATTAACATAGATATTTGATAGTCATTACTTTTTGCAATTAATTATGGTGGTATTAAAGGATACTGAAGATATTTTATCTGTCATGTGTGCATAAGTTAGTATTGCACAATAATATGTTAAGGGGAATGTATTGATGACTGGACTGGCGCAAAATGTTCATCAACATGTTTAGACAGTTGCAAGATGTCCTCAAAAGAAAATGGAAATACTTGTTAAAGGTCTAATTACCACTTTAACTCTTTCAAATGTAGTTATTTAAATGAATGATCTTAGTCTTTTGTGTGTATTAGAGTTTATTTTTACCGGTTACTCATTTCGGCGAGTCCTCCAGAAGAGTATTAGTCATTTTGAATTTGAAGAGTGCAAGATACAGACACAGAAAGATGCCCTAATTGCAGAAGCTTCTCAATGTTCTTTAACGTGTTTAAGCACTCATAAACGCCACCTTGATTGATTTCATTTCTCATCCGAAAGACTGCTTAGGTAATTTTGTTTGGGCAACCCGAAAAACCAAACCTTAATGTCAAAAATACAAGTCACACTCTCACGCGATTGATCAATGCCGACTGACTTGATCTTTTACGACTGTTTGTGCAGTTTATGACAAGAAAATTGTTCCAGTAATCAATAAAGCGTTGTTAGGGTAATTTTATTACAAGTTAATGTTATATCTGCAGAAATACCAGTGACAACAACAACAGCAACAACAACAACAACAACAGCAACAAGATCAGTCGAAAATGAAACACAACAACAATCACTTTTGCGACGTGACGATAAAGCTAGTAATTTTACCGTTGGTTATTTCTCTGGATTCGGATCTTGTGTTGCCATTGTAGTATTTGCTGTATTGTTTTATCTTATAAGACGAAGGTGAATGTATTCATAATTTAATAGTATACAAGATGTGTACATGTGTTATAAATGTAAAACAAATTATCTTTACTGGTGAATTCAATTAATAATGATAATAAACCTTATGTTATTGTTGCTATTTAATGATTATTTAATTGTTATATTTGTACTATCAAGTTAATTATGTCGGTTGTTAGTCTTTTTTACCTAATTCTTAACATACAATTAATATAATTGTAATAATATACAACTGTTATATTTTTTATTATTTAATACAGGTATCTGACAAGTAAAACGCCCCAAGACAACAGACGTAACGTTGAGATACCAACATATTAAACACAATTAATGGATTTCCAGAAGCTGGAAATCAAGTCAGCCAATGTTGATAATAACACGAGGAGGATAAATACGGGGAACAGATAACGTTATACCCAATGGTAATTTGATATATAGAAATAAACATCCTATGTATTTTGATGTCAATTTTATCATGCAAGGCTGATATGTGCTAGAAAGGGACGAGACTTTCATGTTATACATAAAAACAGTCAAAATTTAAAAATAATCTACTTTTAAATAGCGAATTGTGTAGAAAGGGGCATTTTTAGTTCAAAGAAATAATTCTTGAAAACAAATTCCTCCGCCCCGGAAACTTGTTAATGGCCGCCATCGTTTCTTTCGACTCGAGATTATTTCCTTTGATAATTGATACAACAAATCGAAATAAAATAATATTCTTACCTTTAAACATCAATCCAAAAATATCCCTATGAATCACATAAATTTTACTGTACTTTCTTCCTTGACATGTCAGTGTCAAAAGTTTACAATTATTTCAGTTCCAATAAAAGTCAAATTGGCAATCAAAAACAAGCTACACAAACATACGTCTTATTTCTGAACGAAACGGTTTGCTCACTTATTTAATAACAATTTGGCGAAACAAATAACACATTTACAAGTTCTTCAAGAAATTCGTCCTGTTTATAATATTATGACGTGAACATCGATGATGTCATTTTAAAAATAAATTATGACGTGACTTCATTAAGGTGGTGCTTAACTATTCGCTATCTAATTTGTTCGTAATTAAAAACGAAATGATAAATATCACATCTAAATTCGAGACTTGTAAGGGTTTGAGATAAAATTGTAGAATTCAAAGACTGATAAAAACTAGTCTCTTGAAATGGGCGGGGCCTATTTTTTGATATCAGGGTATAATCCTGATATCTAAAATAACTATCAGACAAGTGTTATCGGGCAGTTACCATGGCAGTTGCATGTAAATGTTTTATTTGATTTAAGTTATGATCAGTTTCATTGTTGTTCATAATTATTACTTATTTATTATTATCAATTTTGTTATTTATTTATTTTCAGATCTAAGAACAACATAGTTGTAAGATAAATGGGTTTTAGAGACTGTATCTGTTGTTACTCTTAATTTTCAATACACATTTTATTGTGGTGACATAAAAAAAACTTTACGCTTACGACAACGAAGTTGCAGTATTGTGCTTTTATGCGTTAACTCTATTAGCCTTTAATGTTCATTTTAGCTTATTCACATGTTGACTTCTCCTGCATGTTTATCTTTAGTGTTAAGTAACGGCAACGATAAAATATCATGAATTACCTTCTATTACGGTTTAGATACTGGAAAGGTTGTTCAAACTTGTGTACATAACGGATAAGAGATAATATAATAGTGCTGCAGAATTAATGAGTAATGGTCATTGAATAAAAAACTTTTGGCCTGTTAACGTATTTTCGTCTTGTGCTACACATGCTACAAAGAGGTCGTGACATATAGAAGACATATTGTCGGATCACCCCTCAATGCGACTCCTGCATTGGCTGCCGTCAGACACACATGCGATCATTGATCTCTCTTGTTCTGTGAATATTTCAATTTTATATTTACAATATATATTTATATTTATATTTAATAATTTCATTGCAAACATACTTACTGGACTATTTTATGATAAATCATATAATTTGATTAGTTCACCATCACAGACTTAAATGTAAATATGTACTACATTATTCAAAAGAATTAGGTAGCCAGCAATATATTAAAATGCTTCATCTGTGTCAAATTACATTACATTGACACAACTAAAGGTATAATCTTGTAGACAGTTTTGGTCGAGTGTGAAGGGTGACTGATTTCAAACCACATGGTTTTAATCACTGTAGGTTCGAGTTCTGTCTGGCTTTTTGGAGTCTATCATGTGACAGAGTTATCCCAAAACTAGCTTATTGAATATCGGTGGTTAATAAAACTAGAGAGACACTTTCGGTATTGCTTGGAACTTATTATATGACCTGTAAAGTGTTGATGTGATAGAAAATCCTTCCAAAAATCTCTTATTATTTTATTTATTCCCAGAATGTAAAAAGAATTAAAGATTACCCATTTTTTTCGTCACTGAGAACTGCACTGTTTTGGAAACTTTAAAAGGACAATATATATATATAAGAAAATTTCAAAATCAAAAACAAAATAGCTTTTACAAAAGTTTTCCCTATAGAAAGTTTATCTATGCAGTAGCACACAAAATGAATCTGGTACAAAAACAGTGTATTAAAATATAAAAAGGTTGTCTTTGGTTCACCTATTTAATATGTGTTTTTTTTCAAAATCAAACAGAGCCCATGTTTGAAATTTATCATGCATTTAATCTCTTTGAACGTGGAAAACTTACATTTCCAATCAACGTATTGTATTCGACAAAACGTATAAGACCGGGCTTCAGACTGTAACCTCTCCTCTACAATCAACCATCCCAAATTATGTTTCGCCCTGCTTTTGAAAATAAGATACATAAAGTCCTAAAACATTATCAAAAAGAACGATAGAGCTGCGAAATGGTATTCAAAATGTTCCAGCTTTCCATGTTTGAGCCCCCGTTAGGCTGCACAGCTACATTTTGGAACTAACGTAGGGCCGCGACTGTATGTAACTTTAAGAAATTTCACTCTGTCAGTTTGTCAATGATTTAAGGAGATATTTCAAGAAATTGGGGGACTATGTTAAGATCACATTCGAGGTTTGATCAAAAAGTTCTCGGTCCGATATACTTCTAGCCTCAACTGACATTTACACACAATATGTCGATACCGATATCGTACTGAAGATTACTGATCAAGTTACACACGGTAAGAAAAGGGTGTCCTCCAAGGAAATCTATTTACAATTCATGGATACACTTGGGAAGGAGTCCCCTTCCTATAGCACTGTGAAAGAAATAGCTGCTGAATTTAAGAAGGGCAGGGAAAGCATTGGGATGAAGAGCGGCATGGGCGGCCAAAAGAGGCCACCAACGATGAAATTGCCAAAGCTGTGTACGATCTGGTCATGTGCGATATAAGGCGAGACCTGCAAGGCAGCGCTAGGGAAGAGGGTATAAGCTTTGGTTCAGTTCAGGCAATTCTGACTGATGTCTATTGCATGTCAAAGGTTTCCGCTAGATGAGTCCCCAGACAGTTGACTGACGACTAGAAACGGATCATGCTTGTCATTTCAAGATATCTTTTGTCTCGCTACGATGATGAACCTGATTTGATCTACCGGATCGTTACTCAGGATGAAACATGGGTCCAACATTTTGATCCAGAATAATAAAAAACAGAACATGCAGTAGAGGCACCCTGGCTCACCCCCTCCGAAGAAATTTAAGAGGCGCCATCAAGAGGGAAGATGATTGATTATTTTTTTTGGAATAGTCAGGGGAAAATCATGATTGACTATCTTGAGCAAGGTCGTTCCATTAACGGTTCTTACTATGCAGACGAATTGAGACGTTTGCGTCAAAAAATCGCGCGTAAAATGAGGGGCACACTGACTCAAGGCTTTCTGCTCTTGTACCACAATGCGCCAGCTTCCCAAGTTGCGATGGTTGCTGCAACTTACTGCGGCTTTGAAATTCTTCTCCATACCCCATGTTTTCTAGACTTGGCCTCCTCTGACCGAAACTGAAAACTAAGCTTCATGGTAGATATTTTGGAAGCAATGAAGGTGTCACGGAGGCGGTCAATGAGTTCTTTGAGGACCAAAATATAGAGTTCTATTTTGAAGTGTTAGACAAGTTGGAGCAAAGGTGGGCAAAGTGCATTGATGTTGAGGGCGATTATATTAAAAAGTTAGACCGTTTGTTGGGTTCTCTGAAAACCGGAAGTACATCGGGCCGAGAAGTTTTTGATCAATCTTCGTTTTTAGGAGAAAAATGTTTTAGGGGTAGCGCTGTGGTATGGTATTCAAAGGGTTCTGGGTTCAAACGGTGGTGCTGATGAGGCATGGTATATTGAGGGTCTTTGTTTTGATTCTCAGTCAGGCTGCATATTTTCTCTCTTTGTGATTTTTAGATATTTACAGCAAATTATTTGCTTAACTGCATTTATGAATGATTATGACTTTAGTCAATATTCAATTTGTAAAATATTTAATTATTGTCTAGTAATGTGATTTTTTATTTTATAAGACATTGTAGCAGTACTAAATTTGACCACTTTTGAATGAGGGGGAGGAGTTTGCATAGACTTGTGTGGATCAAGACTAGGTGTACTCAGAAACTATATGAAATCTTCCTCGGTGACATCTAAAACAACAACCTGGTTATAGGATTGGGTGGACTGTGAGACAGGATGACTCGTAATAAGACATGGACCGATTGAAGATCGAATCAGGGTGGACTGTATTATGCGGCATGAGAGACAGAGGTATTGAGATCCCCCATCAGGTTCCCTCCCCTGTCCCTGCACTTATACTACAATTCTTTACTTCGGGTAGAGGTCCTAAGACCATTACTGGCATGGTGTATGTAATCACAAAAAGATACTGAAAAACTGAAAGATAAAGAATTATTTAATTCTATAAAGTAAAGTCACAGCTCAGAACTACTGAGGGTAGAAGTTTAAGCTGTGGGAAAGCGTATTCGGTAGTCAGCTGCGGTAGAGTATTCCAGGGGTCACTGGTCAAGTCCCGGTCAGGCTGCACATTTTTCTCACCCTTCGACTTTTGATGTCCAAACTGATAGTAATAAAACAATGTAAAATCGGCCTTTGAGTTTCATACGATCACCTATTCCACAGGGGACTTTGATGGTTTAAAACTCAAAGTCCTATTTAACATTGTTCACTGTACCCATTCAAAGACGAATTTAAATAAAGCAAGGGAGTATGTCATTGTTCTATTTAGGGAGATGATGTGTAAGCAGCCTGAAAGCTCAATCGGTTGAGCCATGGAATGGTATCCCGAGGGTCCCAGGTTTAAGTCTCGGAAAGGCAGCACATTTTATTTTTTAAACTTATAATAGTAACATAAAAAGGCAGGTACTAGGCATTTAATGTTGCTTAGTAATAATACAGCATATTTATACATATATTAAGTGCATAATGTCAATAAATTTCAAATGTTATGAAAAATATTTTCTGATGCGCTCTTTTGGTAATCCATATACTTTACAGTTTACACATTACGCAAATTCTTGAAGTCCAACACTCTTCACCACTAATGGCGGTGCATGGGATTAACAGGTTTCATTATTTTCCTTACAGTTTCGGACCCAAAAGAAAAGTTTATTCTTAATATTATAATCTTATTAATTAAATGTCATAAGGCTTGTGTGGACACTTCAGGTGTGTTTTCCTTTTTTTTTGTAAAAATGTCATTAATTTCGTTCGCTGCAATGTAAATGGCTTGATGATTTGATCGTTGATTTGTTTAAGTTTCTACGAAACATTCTTTTTATTTTTGTTTACGCCGGAACCGGTGTCGATGTATAAAACGTCTATCTTAGAGATTCCTTGGCTTAAGCAAAGTATTAAATCTTTTTTTTTTTCAGAAGTGCGCATAAGGACGAACCCGTTAACTTATTTGTTTTTAATTATTTTACCGCATGATAGCTTATATTGTTTGAAAATTATTTGTAGAGGCTGTGATTAATTTTGTGCAAGGTTGAGTGCATTACAGCTCTAACCACATAAACCCGTTTAAAATACATGTCTTGCTATCATTTAAACAAATAGCTTAAACGATTTAGCTAAAGTTGTTAAACACTCATACGATTACGATATTTTATTAAACGTTTAGAAACGTTTTTATTTTGCGTGCGTTTAAGCGTATTTCGTTTAGCTTTTATCGTTTTGCGTGCGTCTGATAAGAAGTTAATTATACATTTGACTGTGCAATACGGGAATATATTTGGACGAGTACCCAGCTTAAAACGTCATATTGGACAAGCCGATAGGCGAGTGTAATTTGAATTTTCAAGCTGTGTTCGAGTCCAAATATATTCCGTATTGTACAGTAAAATGCATAATTACCTTTTTATTATAACTATACCTTTCGTTTAATTTGAAATACCAACATCATCATCATCATCATCACCACCAACCCTTAACAATACCACCACCAAAATCATCATCCCAACCACCACCATTATCATCAACAAATCCACTACCACTATCATCAGCTCCATCAATATAACCACCAAAACCACCACCATCATCAATTATAGTCCTATGACCCCTGTCAAAATATTTTAGAAAAAAAGGTAATAATTCGTGAATGCTATTGTTGTATACGTACATAAGTTTTAGGATTTGACTGACACAACGAATACTTTTTAGACGTTATTTATTTATTTTTTTCTGTGAGTTCAAGAAAATGAAAATATTAACATTGCCTAAACAAATCATACGTTGTTACAAATATTTATCATAAATATCTGTTTAATATACATCATAATTATATAACAGTTTATCACATTGACACCCTTTATCTCAATCATCACATTGACAATAGTAAAATGCTAAAATTTAGCGCGTCTTAACGCTATGTTTATATAACGCAAATGAAGTCACGTCAGAATATATGCACGGTCGTTTAGCACACATGTAAACAAACGTCCGATATGAAATTTATATATTTTTTGTATCCAATACGGGAATATAATGGACTGTCACGAGGTACAAATTCAGATTGTTTTTTGTTTTTTTGGCTTGATTTATTAGAAATATAATAATGTAAGATTATACGATTATATATCCTATTGTTTATAACAATGGGATAGTGATGTTCTTAAAAACGGCATCAGTTGTACTAGCAGTGAATGTTGATAAAATATTTGCTCGTAAGTACTATTACGTAATATTTTTTTATCAATATTAACAGTTTAAGTATAAATTTTCGTGATGAAGATCAATTCATGATACATGCAATTAAAAGGGTAAGCTCTTTTATTATATGTCTGATACTTCAATACATTTACAAAACTTTTCCTAAAGTAACTTATTATTTACTTTTATAGGCATGATATAGGGTTTGTGCCTCTAATTGCATAGGTCAAAAAACGAACAATATCGCGTTTATTGTTTTAATTCACAAACTCGTTATCTCCTGGAGATATTAGAGTTTGTGAATTAAAACAATAAAGCGATATTGTTCGTTTTTTGACAGTATCAATCCGAATATTTTTGAGTCTAAAAATAATCTATTAAAGGGAGTCACTGATGCATATCGTATATAATTAAATCTAAAAATAATCTATTAAAGGGATATGTTATTAAATCACAAAATAGAAAGAGGAAGTTTTGAACCGGTTTATCTGGTAGTGATTTATCAGGTTTTATAAAGGTATTTATATACGAGTATTATATATTTTGTTCGTTTCAGTGAATGTTTAGTGATATTTCTTAAGTTTCGGGTGTGAGTTTTTTTTAAATAAAACAGGAATAACGAACATTGTAGTATTTCTTTTAAAACAATTATGGTATCGCTTTTCTTTTTTTCTACCTTTAAAGTTCTGCATGCTACATTCGATATGTCAAATATATTTTATTATAATGAATACAAATCACAATACAACAAACATACCTTTAATTCTTGTTTTTTTCAGCTTAAGATATAACATAGTAAAAAGAGAAAAAATAAAGTGGTATCGTTTAGTTATGATTAAACATATATATTCCCGTAAGTTGATCACATTATTATCTATATATAGAATTCTCATTTTTAGATTTGCATAAATGAATACGGAATAATGTTGCTTCAGGAAACGTCAGCATTAATACTAGTATTGATTCTTGATATGGTATTTAGTGGTAAGTTATTTTACTTTTTGATAACTTGTACTGTTAGAATAGAAATGTGTGAATTTCTGTAAAAACATGATTGCTCTTTTAATTTGAAATTCCTGAATGCATGTATAAAAATGTTGAATTCTTCAAGTTTATTTTATTATTATTCCTAATGTTTTATTTTATAATTTCATATTTTTTATAAAAAAATCTGACTTTTAATAGCATATTTGTGGTTCTTTACATCGTAAATGTGAAAGAATGGGTAACATAAAATATGTAAATAGGCAAAGAAATATATTTTAATTACAGAATGCTCTGTTGGCTGTCAATCATGCTCCGGTTCAACTTGCACAAGTTGTGAACCAGCTTACTTTTTATCAAATGGCCTCTGCTCACCATGCCCCTTCGATTGTGGAAGCTGTAATAGCTACGATGACTGTACTTCATGTAAGCCAAACACTTTTGGTTTGCATGCAAGATGTACTTTCACCTGTGACAGTAATTGTCTAAACAGTGAATGTCAAGATGATACAGGATATTGTACGCAATGTAAGCACGGTTTCTATGGTTTTCAATGCCAACACAATTGTAGCTCATGTGAAAATGAACGTTGTGATTTACGCAAATGTTCGAGTGGTTGTAGAGCAGGATATTATGAGTATAAAACCGGTGTCGAAACAATATGCCAATATTGTTCTACAAATTGTAAACATTGTACGGATCGGACAACATGTTTATTTTGCAATCACGATTATTACCTCTATAAGTTTAATGACAACGTTCACTGTTTGCCATGTTTGCAAGAATCGCAATGTCCAGACTGTGTTATTGAAGGTTGTAACCAGTGCCAAATACACAATGGTTCGTTAGTCTGCGCCGATTGTCCAGAAGGACAAGTATTCATTGGTACAACATGTGGACCATTGTGCTCGGAAGGATGCTCGACGTATTGTGATAGTAATGGAATATGTCAAGGAGAATGTATTGAGGGTTGGACTGGTGAAAAATGTTCTGAACAATGTAACAGTAAATGTTTAAAGTGTTCCAAAGATAACGGAAATATTTGTCTACTGTGTAAAGATAATTTTTACTCAACCGCTTGCAGTTTAGCCTGCGATCTGGCATGCATAGTAATAAGTGGTAAACAGACATGTCAACATGTAGACGGGTATTGTTTAAACGGATGTAACCGGACCTTTTGGGGCGATACCTGTGATAAACCTTGTCCTGTTGGATGTAAAGATCCTAAATGTGATAGAAATAAAGGTACATGTACGGATGGATGTAAGGATGGACTTACTGGAGATAAATGTACTCAAACCATCACAATCGGTAAACAATGCGCATATGATTATTGCCAGAAATTCATTTCAAAATAATTAATTTATAAGTAATTTATATGAATTAAATCAAATTTATAATTATCATAAGTTTTGAATATCTATAATTATTCGCCCTTTCTCATGGTGGCATAAAGGGATATTAGAACAACTTTATTTACCTTGTTTACACGTGTTACCATACTTTGGACATTGGTTACTATTACTAATTTGTACGTTTGGTAGTTTTAACTCGTGTAAAATAGTAATACGATTTAATGCGCTTATAATACTAACTCATTCTCAATGAATCAAATTCATAGTAAACATAGATAAATAATCATTATATTTCCCCATTGTTTCGTATTATGGTGGTTTTAAAGAGATATTAATCTAATAATTTTAGTCGGCCAGCTCTGGAATCGAACCCTCAATGTCGGGAGTATGAGTCTCGCGCTCAATCCGATTGATCTATGTGGTTTGGTCTAATCTTAGACGAATGTTTGCGCAGTTAATGATGAAATATTAGAGCGTAGTAAGGGAAACATTTATTACACGTCAATGTTATTTCTACAGAAACATCAGTGACACAAACAACAACATCAGCCGAACCTGTATCAAAACAACAAACATTGCGATGTGACGATGAAGCTAATAATTTTACCATCGGCTATTTCTCTGGATTTGGATCTTGTGTTGCCATAGAAGTATTTGCTGTATTGTTGTACCATATAAGACGAAGGTGAATGTTTAACACTGTTTTTATATACTATGCAACATGCTTGTCCTTTAGGTATTTTGACTGATGAATTTATTGATAATAATAATAATAATAATAATAATAATAATAATAATAATAATAATAATAATAATAATAAGCATACTTTTATGTAATGTTTTTACTTTATGATTAAATATAAATGTTTGTACTTTCATGTAAATTGTGTCGGTTTTAATTGAGTTGCTTTTTGGTATGACTTAAAATCGACTTTAATAATTATCTTTATTAATATTTTAAATTCTATGATTCAATGCAGGTATCTTGCAAGTAGAACGCCCCAAGATAGGAAACCCAACTTTGAGATTCCAACATATTATAACACTAGAGCTGATTTCAGAGCTGTTAATACTGAGTCGGCTGAAGTGACTAATAATTACGAAAGTTTGGGTAATAACAGAACCACGGATAATGTATACAATGGTAATTGTAATGTGTTTACTTAATTTACCTAGAATTATGATAATTTTAAGTACTTGATGTCTTTATTGCTGTTCATATTTATTATTTATTCATTTTAATTTATTTATTAATTTATCTATTATGTAATTAATCAATTAATAACTGTAATAACATGTTATGTACTTATTCATTTATTATTTATTTACTTATTTATTTATCTATCTTTTTATTTACTTGTTTATTTTCAGATCTAGGAACAACATTGTCATAGATTTAAGAGAAATGAGTTTTAGTTGTTTACTAGTTAACACAACAGAATGAATTGTTACTGTATTTGTTGTTCCAAGGGTGATTGATGCATATTATTACTATCCTTTAGAAACGGATTATATTCATTACAAGCTAGTTGTTTTAGGGAATGACTATTTCCTTCTAGCAATGTATTAACATGTAAAATACGACAAATGTGTTTTTCAAAATTATTTTACCTTGTTATTGTTTATAAACGGTTTTTTTTAAATATTTCAGTCCCGCTTTAACATTTGGCTTCGGATTAAATTTCAACATACCTACCTGTCCATGTGATAATCCTTATCGATATGTTTAGTGCACAACACAAATATAATTGAAATGTAAATTTTATACAGTATGGTTAAAGTAAGAAGCCAATTGTTTCAACTTTATTAAATCACACTTCATAAAAGCTTTCAAATATAGAATATAAATTTGTAAACGTTACTAGTTAAGATCGCAAATTAATATACGATCGTATTTTTCCGGTATTTTTGAGACACATACATGTATTATGGTTATAGTATTCATAGATTTGTTTGACGGCTGTGTATTAATATATCCATTTTATGGGCAATTCCATTTTACTTATCTAAGATAAGATTAATTTAATAATATTTTTGAAGCATAGTAAGCGTGTAATTTACTGTGAGTATATAAAACAAAACCAATTTATATTTCATTCTTTAGTTTAATTTAGATATAAGATTTATACTTTATCTACTAACAGCTTATAATTGTTTACATATTTTACATTATTTGTTTTATAATGTTATAATTATAACATGCATAGCAATGTTCTTGAAAACGGTTTTAGTTATCCTAGCAGTGTTTGTTGATACAGAATTCGATCGTAAATACTTCTGCAAAATAGTTCCCAATCCATTTGAACTGTCTATCTACAAATTAGAGTGATACAATTTGGACAAGTCTTATAAATTGAATGCATCTTTAAATATTTAAATTCAAATAACGAAATCTATAATGCTAAAAATTGGCTGAACGTCAATTTTTTTATATTTGGTCATATTGATATCTTTACGGTAAGAAAATAAGAGTTAACACAGCTATAAGAGTATATTTTAAAACATATCACTTAAATTTGTTTTAATTAAGGTTTGTATAATTGGTGTTATAAATATTTTATTGGCTTTCGATCTTGATCACATGTTCGACATGTTTAGTTATGATCATCTTACTTTTTATCAAAAGTGTTCGTTCATTGTGCTATATAGATTGTTAACATTGCTTCAATAACTGTACTTCATTCAAACAAAAATAATATTGTATTCAAGTTAAACTTTTTACCTGTGATGATAATTGTCTAAATCATAAATATATAGAGGATCCGCTATATTAATACCAATCCAAGTCTGGTTTTTATATGCTTATATTTACGCAAATGCTTGGAAGTTTGTAGATCTGGGTATTATCAGTATAAAACCGGTTAAAAAAGGTATATAAAATTTGTTCGTCAAATTGTAATAATTGTTCGGATGTCAAAACATGTTTATTATGCAATGATTGTTTTCATTTCTATGAATTTTATGGTGATGAAAAGGGATTCCCTAATTAAGAACTCTAAAGATCATATTCATGGACGGAACTAAAAGTGTGAGTTACCGTCCCTGCTTACTTAAGTAGAAATAAAGTCTCAAATGCTCAAGAGAAAGTGAAAATATTTGTCTACATTGCAATGGATCAGAATATAGTTAAGTTTACCATCCAGCATGCACAGTAAGTGACGGTAAAAGAACATGTGCTGACAAATAGTGTCTAATTGGGTGCATACAAAGCTCCTGGGACGAAACCTGAAACAAGTCAGTTTCGTGACTGATGAAAATATCAGATATGTGACAGAAAACCTGTAAACATGTAAACATATACTAAAGGATGCAAAGATGGATATCTCGACGATATAAATTGTAAAAATTCTACGGGGTTCGAGTATGTACATACCGGTTTCAATAAACAAGTACATTTTATGGATACAGAAAATTTTGTACAAAGATACATTTTACGTTAAAATTGATACAAAAAGTCCATAGATTTAGATAATTATAGGACCTGATAAGCATTAAGAAGACATACTGAAAACGAGCAAAAATTTGTCATTATAAAACGATAATGCCACAGAGAACCGTTATTTGATACAAAGACTTTCGTGAATTTCTGAAAAGTATACATAATATTATATATGATAAAACATTCTTTAATTATAAAGTATTAATGCAGTTTTCACCACATCTTCGTCACGCATAACTGACCAGAACCTATGTATCCTTTCACATACAATATACTCATATTTTCTTTTCTATTTTAGTTCCTCCATTTTAATGACATACTTTTTAATTGTTTCTGTTTAGTCACTTTAAAGGCCCATTATACCTCAGAAAAAAATATCAATGCTATTTCTCAAATCTTTTTTTTTTGTGTATTGTGTTACAGTTTCAAAAAATAAAATTTATTTTCTATAAACAGGTACATGAACTATCTTTGACTGCTTGCGCTCTAACAGCAATTGGTATAATAATAGTGAATACATGTAAGTATTTTGTATGGATGTCAAAATACTATTTTGTTTACATTTTACAACATTTACAACACATTTCTGCATGTTAGGCGCTACATTTTTCAGTTTTTAAACATGTATCATGCTCTAAATTCATTATTGAAACATTATTTAACACATGATTAATACATCTAAAGAATAAAAAAATATAGATATCTGAGGCATAATGTGCCTTTAAAGCAGCATTTATAATTTATTTTTTCTTGCTTTACAAAAAAAAAAAATGTTTATTTTTAGAATTCATTGCTTGACTGAATTGTGAAAACACTTCTTTATAGCTTTCTTTTTTACTCCTACCTTAATCATAAAATCTTGTTTTGATTAAGCATAGAATGACTTTCATCAACATATGTTTTATTAGGTATATAACGAGGTATTTCAAAATACTTTCCTCTGCAAGTAATAAATTCAGATACAAGATTGACCAAAGAATCCGTACTTTGGCTGCTGTTTTATATGCGTTTAAGTCAGTACAAAATTCATCTACGTCGCGTGAAATTTTATTCAAAAATTCATTTTTATACTGAGGGTTCCACATATGGCACGACTTTGGAACTCGTGGTAACGACATAATATCTCGTGCGCACGAGTTAATAAACACACACACACGCACGCACGCGCACGCACGCACGTGCACGCACGAATTCACACACAAACAAATCACCTCTGTGCCACTGTATGAAACTGTTCATAATCATTTATGTTTTTTTTACAATTTAACTTGTCAATGTTTCATTTAAAAATGTCAAATTATACTTATCAATAAATTTTATAAACTAGTGATATGCTATTTTTGATGATTTAATCCTTGAACATTCAGAAATAAACACTTTATGTTACTCCTATTATTTCCCTTAATATCGTTTTCTCTTAACGCCACTTTTACTTTTCCTGTATAATTCACCTTTGATGAAAAGTTTGCGACACGTATGAACGAGCATAATCTGGACAAGGCGTCTTCTTATCTCTGCAACTTATGTTGGGCATTGTTGACTTCAACAATAAGGTTTTAAAATTTGCCACTCTACTCGTATTTGCACGCACCCCTTTTGGGAGCGCAAATGTTACGACAATTTGTGTTACTTTATTAGAAATGTACTTGCCGATTCTATGAGCACGCTGTAAATTAATTGACTCCTTAACATTTTCAATGTTCATTTTGTTGTCAATCATGTCATGAGATTTATTAACACAGTCTGAGAGGGTCTCCCCCTTAACATCCGTTATCCCGAAAAATAAATTTTATCCCGCATACTTTTATGGAAAGAATATTTTTACAATTTGTTTGATTTTTACAACAAACAAAAAAGGAAAACTTTAAAAGCGTCATAACTGTTTATTAAACGTTATTCGTCTACTCTAAACATGGAGATTCTTTAAATATTTTAAGTCTTAATACATACTAAATTATCGTCTTAATATGTAAAATATTTAATATATATTTTTCGCGGATCCATGGATGAAATAAGAAAAAGGATATACATTGCCGTCGTCGATTGGCCCTTATAACTTAAATTTGTTTATTATTGACATATTTTTAACAGCCGTTCAAATCGCCACATACATGTATTGCAAATGCAGGAAATTGTTTCGTTTAAAAATAAATAAAATTGATAGCAAATTTTTATTATTTGTTTTTCCCTCCAAAGTTAATGTCGATTTCTGTTTGCTGCTATATATTTGTACGCGTCTCAATCTTTGTTATTACTCACACTTATAGTGTTTAAACATGTTTTCGTTTCTATATCATATAATGCATCAGGGAAAGACTGTTGATAATGCTGCTGGAACTTGTTGTCCAAGACTTTTGCCCTTTGTTAAAATTGTTGTTACGTGAACATAATATTTTTAACTGTATTCAAAGAGCGATAAAATAGTATAAACTAAATAAAATCTGAAGAAAAAAAAAGATATGTATGAATACAATTTATACTCATTTCCTAATAACATCCTCTTTTTCAACTTGTATATTTTTATAATATTAGATTTTTATGTGTATAACCATAGGATAGTGATGTTTTCTAAAAAAACAGCAACTTTTGTACTTGTCTAGCAATGTTTGTTGATAAAATATTTGCTCGCTAGTACTATTAAAGACGTTTTCGGTAGTTTTTTGTGCGCATCGTTGTGCGCTTCCAAGAAAGATAATCACGGATAATTACTCTTCAAAAAGAAGGCCAAGTTAAATAGTACTCAGATAACTGAAATTTCGGATATAAGCACACAATGAGTCAATAATAAGAAAGAGGTCGTTGAGACATCAGATAAAGGATTTCTCCTAGCATTAGTACGACAGCATTGATGATGATTCTGCGCGCGTTACCCCACCCTCTTGTGGTATAGTGACGAAAGTGCGTCGCCACTTAATCACTGGCAGACAAGTGTGCAAAAAAAATTAAAATGATATATTTTAAAAATGTAGAAAAAAATAATATAATAATTATCTAAGAAATGTTCCAATTTTCATTATTTTCTTTGTAAATTTAGGAAATAGATATCAATTCTGAGTGCATTGTTGTAATGCACGGTTTGAGTTCAAATGCGTAGCAATATAATCACGAAGGCCGCTGGGCCTGGGTAATAAATTACAAAGCATTTGAACGAAAAACGTGCATTATTATACTATAATACACGAAGAATAAATATCTATTTCAATTCTTACACGTCAAGAAAAAATACAATGATTATTATATAGCTGGACTATATGTTGGTGGTTAAATTTGTTTTCGCCTCAGAGTTTCCAATAGAAACGTTCTTTAAAGGCTGTTCCAGTGGTTTGAAAAAAAATGTCGTTAAATCTGCCTTATGTAGAAACATTTTATGAATAACGAATTTTGAAAACGTTGATAAAACTTTGTTTGTTTATGTTATTTCACTCTACAAAATACAAAGTATTTATACTGAAATAAATGTGAAATTTTACTCGTTTGCGACATTGAAAAAGCGTTCTTGATTTGATTGTTTTGCACGTGCTTTTTTGGCGCTACATTGTGACGTCACGTAAACAACACTTTAAACGTCTGTACAAAGTAAACGACTAAATTTAAGATATTGGTGTTCGGATTCATTTTCTTAGTTAGACCATTTTTATCAATCTAGATAGTTTTCACAACAAAATTCGACAAAAAATTGTTTTTTATTTATCAGATTTTTCAAACAAAATGGCACCGTCAATGTGTCGGTTTGAAAATGCACAGGGAGGTAATAAGAACGACGTTTGCATTGTTGTAGAAAAATGCACGCTTCCGGCCTTCTTTGTCTATATAGAAAGTTTTCCGATAGTGTTAGAATTCTGAATACTTGCTTACTGTTCGGGTATGATAGTCGAGTGAAGAAATAGTATGGCCTTATGTAACTTGTTTTAAAAAACATATTCAGTATCATTTACTTCATATAACATCAAAAGAGATAAAATAGAACTTTTTATTATGTTTTTGTTGTATATATGACAATGCATTTAGTAATTACACTGATATTTCTTTAGAAAGCGTGGTAATTTTTACAATTGGCATATGCGGTAACCATGAAAACTGCCCGTTTACAAAAAAAAACAAAAAAACTAACACGTCAAAATATATTTTGATTTCTATTCTTGAATCCACCATAAATTTTTACTTGATATATTAAAAATGTAGAAAATTATATGAAAGAAATATTTCGATAGCTTAAATTATTTACAGAATTTATGTTTATTCTTCTCATTTTTTGTTCAAGTAAGAGGCATGAAAAACTCATTTTTAAAGAAATATGGAAATATGTTCAGATTATCGTTTGTTTTATACAGAACCCTTAGATAATGCAAGTTTGTATAAAGTATTCTTATTGTGTGTGTAATAAGCTGTCTTATACATTTTTATAAGACAGTTTGGCTATTTTGACAGTTTTGCGATATACGGTTACCATGGAAACTGCCATTTTACAAGAAATCCAACATGTCAACATAATTATATATTTTTATTTTTAAATTCGCCTTAAATTTTACTTATCATACAAAAATTTAGAAAATTCTAAGAAAGAATTAAATTCTCATAAAACTGTAGAAAATGGTTTAAGTAATAGTTCATGATCAATATTAACAAAATAAGTATAAAATTTAATTCATGGGGAATTTCAACTTATTATTCATGCGTCAATATTTTAAGTTTAAATCTGGAATTCATGAGGATTAATTCGTGAATATGGGAAGTTTCAATGTTACCATCTTTTGTAAGTATGTTTTACATTTAAAGTACTTTAATTACATGTCTGATACTCTGATACATTTTAAATTTTCTTAAAGTAAATTATCATTCACTTTAATAGGCATGATTTAAGACTTGTTCTTTGCAAAGAAGATATTAGTTTATTAATTAAAAACGATTTTGTTCTATTTTGACCGAATCAATCCGAATAGTTTTGACTCTAAAAATAATCTTTTAAAGGGAGTCACTGATGCATACCGTACAACAATTTAAAGAGGAAGTTTTAAACCGGTTTATTTGGTAGTTATTTATCAGGTATTTATATATTATAACTTTTATTCGGTTTAGTGAATGTTTAGTGATATTTCTTAATTTCTTTATTTTCGCTTTTTTAAACAGGAATAAAGGATATTTGTAGCAACTCTTTTAAATTTTAATATAATAATAGGTCTCGTTTCTTTTTTATTTAAGCTTAATTGTACCTTTAAAACTCTGCATGATACATTTGATTTGTATAATATATTTTATTGTAATGACTACAAATCACGAATACAAAGTAGATACTTTTAATACTAGTCTGGGTTTTTTATGAAAGGGTATGACAAAATAAAAAGAAGAACAATCGAAGCAGCATTGTTTATTATGCTAAAACATATGTATTCCCCTAAGATGATCACATTATTATCGATATATAAAATTCTCAATTTTAGATTTGCATATATGAATACGGAATAATGTTGCATAAGGAAACGTCAGCACTTATACTGGTATTGATTGTGGATATGGTATTTACTGGTTAGTTATTTTACTTCATGATCTTTTGTACTGTAAGAATAAAAATGTGTGAATTTCGGTTAAAACGTGTTCTTTGAATTTTCTGAATGCATCCTTAAAATACTGACTTTTTTTAAAGTTTATTTTATTATTATTCTAATATTTTGTGGTAAGGTTTAAAATTTGATATCTTTATCAAAAAATCTGACTTGGCATATTTGTGATTCTTTACATTGTAAATGTGGAAATATAAATAACTAAAAAAGTGTAAATATGGCAAAGAAATATATATTTACAGGATGCTCTGTTGGCTGCGAATCGTGTTCTGGTTCCACATGCACACATTGTGAATCATTTTTCTTTTTAACAAATGGATTCTGTTTACCATGCCCCGAACGTTGTGAAAAATGTAATAGCTACGATGACTGTACTTCATGTAAGCCAAACACTTTTGGTTTGGATCAAAGATGTACATTTAACTGTGATGGTAATTGTCTAAATAGTGAATGTGAAGATGATACGGGATATTGTAATCAATGTAAGCCTGGTTTCTATGGAAATCAATGTCAACATAATTGTAGTATTTGTGAAAATGAACGATGTGATTTACGTACCTGCTCGAGTGGTTGTAGAGCTGGATATTATGATTATAAATCCGGTATCGAAACATATTGTCAAACCTGTCCGTCAAATTGTAAACATTGTAGGGATGCCAAAACATGTTATAATTGCAATAATGGTTTTCACCTCTTTGCATTTAGTGGCAGTGTTCACTGTGTATCATGTTTGCAAAACTCGCAATGTCCAGTCTGTGTTATTCAAGGTTGTAACCAGTGTCAAATACACAATGATTCGTTAGTCTGCACTGATTGTCCAGAAGGACAAATATTCAATGGTACAACATGCATATTACACACACCATTGTGCTCAAAAGAATGTTCTACGTATTGTGATAGTACTGGAATATGTCAAGGAGAATGTAATGGGGGCTGGACTGGTGAAAATTGCTCCGAAAGATGTAACAGTCAATGTTTAAAGTGTTCAAAAGATAACGGAGATAGTTGTCTACTGTGTAAAGGTAATTTTTACTCAACCAATTGCAGTTTAGCCTGCAACCCGGCATGCATAGTAACAAGTGGTAAACATACATGTGAACATGCAGACGGATATTGTTTAAACGGATGTAAACAAGCATTTTGGGGCAATACCTGTAATAAATCTTGTCCTAGTGGATGTAAAGATCTTAAATGTGATAGAAACAACGGTGTATGTACAGATGGATGTATGAATGGGCTTACCGGAGATAAATGTACTCAAGCTATTTCAATCGGCGGACAAGGTGCATATTATTATGATTCATATGGATTAGATTTAATTCACAATAACAATAAATGTTTGGTATTTATATTTATTCGCCCTTTCATATAATGACATTAAATTGATTATTCGAAATGCTTTATTTACTTTGTTTATACGTGTTAGTATGATATGACTTTAGACGTTGGTAATCATTTTATGCGCACGTAGTAGTTTATATGTTTGGACGTTTTTACTCGTGTAAAGTAACAATAAGATATAATGCGCACATCGTTCCAACTCATTAGCACTGAATAAAATCCATAGTTATCATGGATATGTAGACATTATTTTTCATCATTTCATCGTATTATATAGCATGTAAGTGATATTGGAGATAATTTATTTGTCATGTTCGCACATAGTAATGTGATTGTACCAGAATATGATAAGAGGATTGTAATGATATCTGGACTGGTATTATATGTTCAATAAAATATTTAGACTAAGAATTATTGCGATATGTGCTCCAAAGGAAACGGTAATAATTGTAAATACGACGACTTTTTCTCTTTCGATTTTAATTTAGCAAAGAAATGATCTTAAACGACTGTTTGTGCAGATTTTGGCGAGAAAAACTGTTACAGTAATCATTAGAGCATAGTTAAGATCATGTTTATTTCACGTTAATGTTATATCTACAGAAACACCAGAAACAACAACAAAGTCAGCCGGAATTGTAACACAACAACAAACATTTGTGCGATGTGACGATAACGCTAATAACTTTACTATTGGTTATTTCTCTGGATTCGGATCTTGTGCTATCATAGTAGTATTTGCTCTATTGTTTTACCTTATAAGACGAAGGTGAATGTATTCACTAATTTAATACTATACAAGATGTGTACATGTGTTCTTAATGTAAAATAAATTATCTTTACTGGTAAATTTTAATAATTATGTTAATAGACATGATTTTATTGTCACTATTTAATTATGATTTAATTGTTATGTTTGTACTATCAAGTTAAATATATCGGTTTGCATTTTTACGTTTCACTTTACATACACTTAATATGAAGTAATGTTTAATGATATTATCAATTCTATTCTATTATTTAATACAGGTTTCTGGCAAGTAAAACGCCCAAAGAAAACAGACGTAACGTTGAGATTCCAACATACTATAACACTAGAACTGATTTCGGCGCTGTAAATACTGAATCAGCTGAAGTGACTAATAATTACGAGAGTTTGAGTAATAACAGGACCACGGATAATGTATACAATGGTAACTTGATTTACCTAGAATAGACAATTTTAAGAACTTGATGTCATTATTGTTGTTCATATTATTATTTATTCATTATGATTGATTTGTTAATTAATAAATAAATTAATTAATTAATGCTATATTATGTTTTGTACTTATTTATTTTTTGACATATTCATTCATTTATTCATCTATTTATTTATTTTTATGTGTTTACTTATTTATTTATTTGTCTCTTTATTTACTTGTTTATTTTCAGATCTCGGAACAACATTGTCATAGATGTAAGAGAAATTGGAGAGTTGTAGTGGTTAACTAGTGAAAACAACATAATGAATTGTTACAGTAACTGTATTCGTTGTTCCTGTGGTGATTGATGCATATTATTACTGTCTTTATATAATCACTTTATCTATAAACTATAAAACGGCTTATATTCCTAATAAGCTAATTGCATTAGGGAATGAAACTCTATTTCCTTTAAGCAATATTTTTATATAAAACGACTAATGTGTTTTTAAAAATTATTATACCTTTTTATTCTTTATAAACAGTTTTTCTCGAATATTTCAATCCTTTATTTGCAAATGGCTTGGGATTAAATTTTCAACGTACCTACCTTCCCATGTGATAACTGTTATCGATATATTAAGTTAACAACACAACTTTAATTGAAATGTAAATTTTACTACAGTATGGTAAAAGTAAAAAGCTGGCAAAATGTTCAGTTGTTTCATCTTTATTAAATCACACATCATTATTCCTTCAAATATAGAATGTGTAATTTTGTAAACGTTACTAGTTAAGTTCGCGGATCAATACACGATCGTTTTATTTCGGAACTTTTTAAGACAAATGTTATGGTTACAGTCTTCTAAGATTTATTTGACGCCTGTGTGTTCATAAATAAATTTTACGGGCAATGCCATTTTACAAATCTGAGAAAAAAATAATTTATTATTGAGATATAGTAAGCGTGACATATACTTTGAGTATATAAAAACAAAACCAATTTATATTTCATTTTTAAAATTAATTTCAATATAGGATTTATATCTAAAAGCAGTTTATTATTGTAAACATATCTTACATTATTTGTGTTATGATATTAGATTTTAACATGACTTGTATAAAAATGTTCTTGCATAAGTTATTTTAGCAGTATTTGTTGATAAATAATTTGATCGTAAAGAATAGTTCCCAATCAATTTTAACTGTTTACCCACAAATCAGAGTGATACAACCTGGACACGTCTTATACATTAAATGCATCTATACATATTTTATATTAAATTACGGAAATTTATAATGCTAAAATTCGGCGGAAATACAAAAGAGACATTTGTTCGTATCGATGTCTTTACTTTTTGAAAATCTGAGTTAAAACAGCTATAAGAGAATATTTCAAAACATATCACTTAAAGGGTATAAATCTATACCTTATGAACTGTTTTGAAAGGGAGAAAGAAACGGTGATACAGAGAAACTGTCAAAACTTTTACATGAGTGTGACGAAGTTTCCGATACCCCACAGAATAATATCTCGGGTAATGCATCCATGTCAAATATAACAGAACAACAACGACGTAAGACGCATAAGAAAAAGAAACATTCAGCACCGTGTAAACCACAGAAAACAGTCCCATTAACAACTTTGAAAACCACTACCCAACATCCATCATCTTCAACCGAAGAGACAACAGGTGCAACCCTTACAAACATTCCAAATCATACGAATGTTACGTCGCCAAAAACGGACCAGCCCCGGGCACAAAAACCACCTACGAAGAGGCCACTCGGAACGGGGCGGCGACAGAACAGGTCCAACTAACGAACACTCTACAGGACCTAACCAGACTCTTAAAGATAGAAATAGAAAAGCAAACAGGCGTTTCGTCAGGGCGAGGAACTTAAACGAGTGGCGAAGACATTAGAAGAGGAAACAGGCGATTCAGAGGGGCAAAATGGAAAATTTGGACATTTGTCGTCTTTGTTGCATAATTTTTCCTGATCAATTTTAATTTTTACCTACAAAATATTTTGATACAGTTTTGACAATTCTAAAACATTAAATGCATCTTACTGTGTTTTAGGATCTCAATGTTCGGACTATTATATTATTCAAGGTTTAGACCAATGTCAGATATAAAGTAATTCGTTGGTCTGCACTTGTTGTCCAGCGAGACAGGATGTAATGGTTAAAGTTATGAATGTGAAAAAAGTACAACAAAATAGAAAATTATTTCAAAACGTCCAAAACGACAGAATTTGATAAGCTGCAGGCCCTGTTGTTGGACGGTACTGATAAGTGCGAGATACCCTTAGCACCGGCTTTTTAAGAGGAAAACAAAGTTTCAAATGCTCAAGAGAAAATGACAATATTTGTCTACATCACAAGTGTGAATTTACCATCTATTATGTATAGTAAAAGACGATAAAAGAACATATGACCATGCAGATAAATAGTGTTTAAATTGGCGACACCTGAAATAAGTCCTATCCCACGGTTTGTAAATATCAAAAGTGTGTTAGAAAAGACGTTATTGTTACTTAAGGATGCAAAGACGGACATCTTGAAGACATATTTTTCAATTTCTACGTGGGTTAGAGGAAAATTATATCTAGAACTTATAGATTTTATGGACATAATGTTAGTCGTATATAAAAAAAAGTTTCGTAAAATATTGATATAAACATCCATGTTTTTAAATAATTATATGAACCTTATAAGCATTAAGTTAAGAATAAACACTTACATGAGAGCGTCCGTTTTTCAATAACATGTCAATGCCATAAAGTATTGAACTATCTAAACCTTTTGATAAAAAGACTTTCCTGAACTTTTGAAAAGAATATATAACTTTGGTAATCCGATCATTCATTATATTCCGCGGTGCTCGCATGCACCTACGTGTGGTATAAAACATATTTGCAGATATCTATATTAAACTTACATTCACACCAGCATCATGGAGAACTGACCAAAACCTTTACTAAATATTGATTTAAAATTATATAAAGATCTTTTTAAACTTAGCTGATATTAATTTAATTTGATTATAAGACCAAATTTTGGGCCAATCAAACAAATATCGGCTAACAAATTAAACAAAATATCATGCTTAATTACTTAAAATTTTCAGTCCATTTTACAGTTATGATATATTTCTATTTTAGTATACAAATTGTCATTGTACACATGTTTAATTGGCATTAAACTAAACTTTTTTTAAGATGGAATTTAACTTCTAAAAATCTCATAGCGAGGTTATTTTAATTTGCCATTTAGCTACTGAAACCGCTCTTAAAATCTCAGATAGCCAGATATTAACTGAAGACTAATTAATTAACGATTCAAAGATAAACACTTTATGACGGTTTAATCACAGGGGTTTTAGCTCGAGTGCGGAACAAGTTCTCAGCACTTATATCATTTAATTTTATCATATTGAATACACTAACTAACGATGTCAATTTCATGTATATAAACGTTTCCAGCGTCAATTTTTCACGATTTCGACATCACAAATAAACGTGATAGCAACTGAATGTATTCAACTTCACAAATTTGAGCTTAACGGTTTCGCATTTTCAAATACATAAACTTACAATTTCAAATTTACATTTCAACTTCATCAAAAAACAATGACAAATTACTAAATTTACTTTCGTGAATTTATTATTTCATTTCATCTTAACAAGAACTTGGATTTAATTTAATAAGTTGGAAAATGTGAAATTGTTCAAACTTGAAGTAAATCGTTCAGTAATGAAGTTGAAATTGTGATGACGTGAATTGGAACATTTTAAATCGTGAATACATGAGGTCGACATCGTCAATTTTTTGAAGTTCAAATTTTTAAAACTTGAATTCGTGATGCAGTTGAATTCATGCTTCATGCAATTGAAAGCGTGAATTCATTTAATGAATTTCATTTAATATTGCAATTTTGAAGTTAAAGTTGTAAATATGCGTATTTAAGTTTCAATGTCACGAACGGGCTTTCGTAATTATGTTATACATTTAAAGTACATTATATTAATACTTTTAATGCTGTAATGCACTTAAAATCATCCAAAAGAAAATTATTATTTACATTCATAAGTATGATTTTATGTTTTCTGTTGCTTTTATATTATTGCAGGGAAATAAATTAAACAAACGTTTTGGGTTAAAAGCGATTTTGTTCTTTTTGACCGTATCAATCCGAATATTTTCGCATCTAAAAATAACATTTAGAACCACTTAAAATGGAGTCACTGATGCATACCCGGTAACCGTATCCATTCAAACCACAACTTTTAAAGAGGAAGTTTTGAACATATTTATTTGGTTTATTTATCAGGTAGTTTTTAATTATATATTTTGTTCGTTTTAGGAATGTAAAGTGATATTTCTTAAGTACTTCCGCTTTTTTCAAATAGAAATAACGATATCAGGATTGTGATCATTCTTTCAGTATAATTAAGAGTCTTGCTACTTTATGTTTAAGCTAAACTGTGACTTAATACTTAAGTAAAACACATTCGAAAATTTTATTATTATAATTCATCTTTAACTTATTATACAAAGGACATATACAAAGACACTTTCAAATGTAAACTCAAGATATAACCAACACAAAAGAAAAATAATAAAAGTAGCCTTGTTTAGCGATGTGTTAAATATAAATAGTTGAGGGAATTGCTATAAGTGGATCAAATTAATATCGATATGTATATTATTCCCATTTTCTAGATAGTTTTACACATATGAGTACTGGATAATGTTGTTGAAGGAAACGTCAGGATTTCTACTAGTACTGTTCGTTGATATGGTATTTTCTAGTAAGTTCTTTTACGTCATTATAATTTGTCTTTTAAAAAATCAAATGTATGATTTTTTTACAACATGTTCCTTTCATTTTTTGTATGCATCTATGACATATTGATTTTTTTATTTTATTAAAATATCTTATTTTGTGTCAGGTTTAGACTTATATTTTTTATTAAACAAATCTGTCTCAGCATATTTATGGCACTTTACATTGTGAATGTGGAAATACAAATAAATTAAAATATTTAAATATGCAAAAACTATTGGAGGAATATGTAATTTGGCAAAAATGTTCATATTTACAGAATGTTCTGTTGGCTGCCAATCGTGTTCTAGGTCAATTTGCACAAGTTGCGAACCAGCTTACTTTTTATCAAATGGCTTTTGTTCACCATGCCCCGAAAATTGTCAAAGCTGTAACAGTTGGGATTATTGTACTTCATGTAAGCAAAATATGTATGGTTTGCACGCAAGATGTACTTTCAACTGTGATGGTAAGTGTCTAAATAATGAATGTCAAGATGATACTGGATATTGTACGCAATGTAGACCTGGTTTCTATGGACTTCAATGTCAACACAATTGTAGTTTATGTGAAAATAAACGTTGTGATTTACGTACCTGCTCCAGTAATTGCGGAGCTGGATATTATAATTCTTACCTCGGTGTCGAAATAATATGTCAAACTTGTCCATCAAATTGTAAACATTGTACGGATGGGAAGACATGTTATATTTGCAATGATGGTTATCATCTTTATGCATTTAATGGCAATGTTCACTGTGTGTCGTGTCAGCAAGAATCGCAATGTTCGGACTATTGTGTCATTCAAGGTTGTTACCAGTGTCAAATACACAATAATGCATTGGTTTGCGCAAATTGTCCAGAAGGACATATATTCAATGGTAGCACGTGTGAAAACAACACAATCCCATGTTCAAATCAATGTTCTAACTCTTGTGATAGTGCTGGAGTATGTATAGGGGAGTGTTATAATGGCTGGAGTGGTGAAAAATGTTCCGAGAATTGTGACAGCAAATGCTTAAAATGCTCAAAAGGTAACAGAAATAATTGTCTTCTCTGTAAAGATAATTTTTACTCAACCGACTGCAGTTTAGCATGCAACCCGTCATGCATAGTAAAAAGTGGTTATCAAACGTGTGAACATGCAAGCGGATATTGTTTAAACGGATGTAAGGAAACATTTTGGGGCGATAACTGTGGTAAACCTTGTCCTGATGGATGTAAGGATCTTAAATGTGATAGAAACAATGGCACATGTACGGATGGATGTAAGGATGGACTAAGTGGAGATAAATGTACTCAAACTACCACAATCGGTAAAAAGCTTTTTGTACTGTAATGAATTCATTTCCGATTGTTTATCAAGTTTACAATTACAAAAAAAAAACATAGATTGTTATTACTTTTTGCCCTAACTGATGGTGGCATTAACAAAACACTACTCGGGAGCCATCACACTACATGTACTTACTTTTTTATTAAGGTAATTAAAGATTTTAGATTTTACAAATGTGTTTCTTTTTATAAAGTTGTCCAAATGCCTTTAAAAGGACATATATTTGTAAACTTTAATAGTTTTGTTCATGGCAGCTATTTAATTATCGGCAAATATGCAAATATTAGCACATCCTTACGCTTAATCCCATATACATGCATCTGTATTTATGCACTTATACTTGCATCTGCTTGACATGATCATCATTGTACGTGTATTTGTTATTGTTATTTGAATTTGAATATCTCAATTTGGTCAGAGATAACAACTAGTCAAACAAGAGCAAGTTCACACCAAACTTTAACGGAGGGTACACAGATGGCAGTACAGGAAAAGAAAGAAAGCAACGAACTAATCATAGGAGCATCAGCAGGAGGAGGCGTTCTAATCTTGATACTGATCATAGTGGTAGTTTTTGTCTTAAAACGAAGGTATAAATCAAAAATACAATGTAGTTAATTATGTTTATTCATTTCTGTGAACAGAAATCAAATTCTTATCAATCTACAACATTTTTTCTGAAAGCTGAAGCACCTACTCTATCTTGTTTCTAAATAAAAAAGCAAACAAAAGATTAATAAATAATAACCGGCATCATTCATGACGCATAATTCTACGTATAATAAAAATGTGATCGAGATGTGTGTTCATTATCCTTAGATTGAATATTACGATTTCCTTTTTTATTTTAATGTAATTTAAATCTTGTTTTTCTTTATAAATTATTATCATATGGTATAAGTTTTCATTCATACAACAGAAAGAAATCGCCAAGAGAAGAATCCGATCAACATGAGGTAGTTGTTGCAGAAGATCATAGTATGTATTACATTTTCAGATAAAAACTATATCCAAAGATATTGGCATAATTTATGTATTTACAAAACATATATTAACAATACAATATCACTTAAAATCGTTAAAGAGGAGATGATAATGTATCAGTGTGACATATAATCAAATTTTTTTAAATAATTATCAACTGTTAGATCACATTATATTTTATGCTGAATGACTGAAGTTATTATCTTTATTTTACTTATGTAAAACTATTACATCTATTCATTTCTGCTTTGATTTAAGATGTGTATTCAAAACCAACGAAAAACTCGGCAGCAGTTGAAGAAATTCAGGATTACATATATGCTCAACCTAACAAACCACGCAAGCCCAAGAAACAAAGTACGCGGGAAATTAGCAAACCAAAGACAATGTATGATAATTTTGCTATAGATTTAGATGATAAAACAACTGTCTCAGATGGTGCCTATGCGACTATTACTATTGATAGAGATCCTGAAAACAAAACAGAAGAAGAAACCGATGTTGATGAAATAGAGTTAGAGGAATTAGATGAAGGAAATTCTAAACTTATCAAAATAGGTTTGTTTTCACCGTATACGGTCGGGATGCCTAAATTTACATATAAGTGTGTCTGTAATTTTCTTCACTTAATTGTCAGAAATATCAATTGTATTAGATAAAAACTTCAAAATTATGAACAAGGATAAATGTTTTAGGAAGTTTCTTACTATTCTAAAGTATATAATGTATTGTGCGGTATTTCTGTTACACATCAATTTATATAGGCTACAACAAAGCCTTTTAAATTACAGAAGTAAATCCACCAAGTGTTGATTTATATTACAATACAGCGAGTTTGGTTCGAAGCCGGATTCAAATATCTGACCTACTGGAATACGTCAGGAAGAAGACTGATTATGAAGATGAGTTTGAGGTTAAGTATTTATATCGAAATATTGTTAACATATCAACATTTTTGTATAGGGTAAAGGAAACGGAATATCTCTTTTATAGTTTGAAACCCAAACAAAATGATATAAAACTAAAATTATAGCTGGAAGAATACAATTAAATGTTGAAATTTTATACTTCAAGAAATTTACAATTGCATCAAATTATCGGTTCAAAAGATGTACTTGTAACTATAATTTTATTAATATATCTACGATAAATTTGACGGTACATAATAATTCAGCTATTCTAACGTTTGGTGTAATATTGTTACGATTTTGTACATTTTAGAAACTACCTAAAGGTTTGACAAGGCCTTGTGACGAAGCTCTCACTCGGACTAACCGCAAGAAAAACAGATATAACGGAGTGTATGCATGTAAATATTTGTTTTTATTTTAAGATATTATTCGTAAGGTTTTGCTGGTTTCATTTTTCATTACGAAATTTATTTACGTTATACAATGTACTCGTATTTTATAATGTCCTTTAATATGATATTTGAAAACACTGATATTGACTTCTGACCAGTTTCGTTTTAAATGTAAAATAAACACCTTTTGACCAGACTGATAGAAGATATGTTAATTTCTAAACAATATGAAAACATATTGTTATTAAAGAAAAATAAACTTTGTTTTAAGAAATTACCAAATTAACATGACAAGTCATAGGGAAGACAGCTTTCAACAAAGTACGAGCATGGTTATATTCAAATATTCATTTTATTCAAATTACACATATCCAATTAAATATCCTTGCTTTCAACTTATATCTACAATATTTATATTTACCCTAAAACATGCAACATGTACTTTGCATTAAGGTAGTACACCCCTAATGTACTATCTCCACTTTGAAAAATATTCAAATTGGCCAGAATTACTGTAAAGTGTATTGAAACTGAAGGACGTGGGTTCAAACCCCAGAAGGGGCAACTTTTTTCTTTCTTTTTTTTTCTTTTTAACATTTTTATTAATCTCTCAGAACCCTTAGGGAAGAAAAAAGTGTTTCATTTTAATTACATAATTATTGTAGGTATTTATGTACTAAATAATGCCAAATTTAATAGCAAATATGATACCAGATATTTTCAAAGTTTAATAGAATAAAAACTACACGGTAATAGTATTTTATATTTTTCAAGACCAACCAATATACATTTAAGAAAATTTAGGCAAACTTTGAAAACAACCCATGATAGTGGAAAATTTTTAGGGATATTTCAAAATAGGGAAATAGTCCAATAAGTGTTAAAAGTGGGTGGGGTGGGGTTACATTTTTATACATATTAAAAATAATTCGTTTAAAAACAATCATTTTGCTTGTTTAATTCGTTACTTAAATGACATTATTTGTTTCTAAACAATGAGCAAAAGGAAAATATTTTTCATAATGATGATATTGATTATTAAGAGTTTCCTCATTTCTGAAAAAAGCCCTTCTAATGGCAAAGCTTTAGTTCAAATAATGTCCAGAACTCATAAATCATGCGGTAAATTTGTTGCATTTTGCATACAGGTGACATTTAAGGCATATAACTGTCCTATCTTGTCAATTTTACAGTTCCTACAGTGCCCATTAATTCGAGCACTAAGAGGGATCACTTTTTACTCTGTTTCAGATGATGCGACTCGTGTTGTTTTACAAAGTAAAACCTATATCAACGCAAACTATATTGATGTATGTATAAACCCGCATACATGTTTGTTTGTTTTTGATTTTAATAATTTGTAACACTTTGTTTTTTTGGTAATTTGTAACAGAGGAATAATTGCATGTTTAGCACGTTTTTTTTTCAGCATGTAAACATTTTTCACTGACGATCCTATGTTAACCAATCATTTGATATCACGTATGCATGTATACATGAATGTAGTTTAACATACTGATGGTGTCATCTATTTCTTTCTTAACAGTTAGTGTAAACAAAATATACCAATTAGCATACCTGTTTGTGTTGACAAGAACTTAACATTGCTTGACCAGACGATATTCAATAATTATCATCGATGTTTGTATATGGATATTTATATATGGAAATATTCCATATTAATTGCATGTTTCATAATATAGGGACACAAGAAGTATCCAGAGTACATAGCCTCTCTCGGTATGTTTACTCAGTTTTATCTCAGAAATATATAGGAGAAATTTAAAAGTTTTAAAAAACGATTTTACTATATCTAATTATATTTAATTTTGCAAACACTTGGCTCTTGATCTAAAGATTTTATTTATTCTTACATACACGCTTTTTATTCTTGATTTCAGTTTTAAAAACAAGTTCTTTATTAAGTTGTAAAAGACACTGTTTCGCTTGACTGATTCATTACATCCGAGTCTGCAACCGTGAACTATTTTCGCTTTGTTCTGGAAGCACGTCTTTTTTTTCCGACTTTTGTGCTGTAAATTAAATGTCATTAAAAGGCAATGTGAAGATATAACTTACAGATTTTGCGGAATTCTAAAACTTGAGGGTGTCATATTTTAATTAATATTCCTCTTACTTTGATTTACTCATTACTGATTTAAGGACCAACTAAAGATACAATGAATGGCTATAAAGACTTTTGGGAGATGATATGGGAAGAAAAAACAGATAAAATTATTATGTTGACCAATCTAGATGAGTCTGGGGTTTGTATATTACCACACTTGCCAGAAAAAGAAACTTGATTCAGTTTTGTATTTTTCCTGATTATCCTTTTTCATTCTGATTAAAACTTATTATTTTAGAATCATTAGAAATATTTTCTATACACTTAAACAAAATAATAAAATTATACATATACTTAGAGATATATGCATACTTTAAATAATAATTGCATTTAAAACAGTTTGTATAAAGCCAAGTATACTATTTGCTACGTATGATTAATTGTACTGTCCTCTTATATTGGGTCACGTATAATTTGGTTATATACATAATAATTGAATTATTGTCAGGAACATAAAAAAATGAAATGATGCTTTGCTTACTTCATAGAAAATGAAATGTGAGCAGTATTGGCCAGATCAAGGGAAAACAAAGAATTACCATGGATACAAAGTGGTGTGCATTGCTGAGAAAATATTTTCTGAATTCACTTCAAGGGAGTTTTCTGTTAATGTGCAGGTATGTTATATGGTACCAAAATATAAATATACGTCTTAATGACCTTTGATTTGATTATCGTTTAAGATATTAATGTCCTATTTGTTTGTTCTTTCTAATATGTTGAACAAAATTTATCTCTGTCCCTAGATTAAAGTAATTTGTCTTTTAATAATTTGCAAACTACAGACCTCAAAATATAATGCACCATTGGTAACAATGTCTTTTTATATTTCAAAGGGTTCTGGATCGAGGAAAGTGACACAATATCACTATACCGCCTGGCCCGACCGATCAGTTCCAGATAATGTTGCCTCTCTGATAGAGTTTAGAAACAAAGTTGAACAAACAAAGTCAAACGATGCTGGCCCTATAGTGGTACACTGCAGGTATTTGGTTTTCCAGTACAATACAAATGACCAATAAGCATAAATACATATAGATTGTCAAAAACATATTTAGTCAATTAATAGCCTGTGCAACAAACGTTTGTTGTTACAAATAACTTACTCCAAAAAGATACCTGAAACGGAAAAAATAAGAACGTTTTATAGCCACTCGTTCTAAAAGCTTGAATAGTACGTTAATATTGATCATGATTCCTATATCTTTTTATGTATTATGTAACAGTGCAGGAATTTGTAGAACTGGAACCTATATCGCATTAGATACACTTATACAGGAAGGCATGAATGACATTTGTGTTGACATTTTTGGTCGTGTGATGGCACTACGTGGACAAAGAGGTCACATGGTCCAAAACCTGGTATGATATCATATAAAATGTTTTATGTTTTGCATTTTTTTTGAAACACACATAAATAAATCATGAATTTATAGATATTAATTGCGCTTTTTCTTATATAATACTTGATATTGCTAATGGTATAATTAAATATCCAGTATTACATTATTATGGTTATTCAAAACATGTTATGAAAGTACAAGTATTGTTCTTCCTTTTCTTTAGGAACAGTACATATTTCTTCACCGATGCCTTCTGTATGCCCTCACGTGCGATCCCGATCCACTTCCGGTCACACATATTCCTCGCATCATGACAGACGATAAAATATCACATCAATTTCAGGTACATATGTATATTTTAATACTAATTGTGTAATTATAATAACTTGTTTATTTTGAAATATCCTTCATTCTTTTAGAAAAAAATCAGTTTACTGACTGTAATTGTCACACCCGACTGATTCAATGAAAAATAATAACAGAAAGCTATTGCTGTTTTATTCATTCTAATTGTTGTATATTTAAGTCCCTTACGTTTTTTTTCAAACCCAATCATTTTTGTGTCGCCTCTACGGAGTAGTGGCGACATATAGGGATCACTTCTTCGTCGATTGTCTGTCCGTCTGTCTGTCCATCTGTCCGTCCGTCACAAAACTTGTCCGGACTACTCCTCATAAACTACTGGTGCAATTTCATCCACACTTTACAGGAATGATCAGTACCAAGCCTAGTTGTGCATATTGTCAGCATTTTTTGGTTCAATGATTTTTGTAAGAGTTATGGCCCTTTAATAATTTTTATTTTTAAAGTTTGTCCGGACTAATTCTCTTATACCACTAATGCAATTTCAATGAAACTTTACAGGATTGATCTGTAGCTCAAGTCCTTGCGCATATTGCACAGGTTTTCCGGTTGAATGATTTTTTGGCCGAGCTATGGCCCTTTGATAAAAAGGTGTTTTTTCTGTGTGTTGCCAGATACACAAAAGCTTGTCCGGACTACTCTTTATAAACTACTTGTGCAATCTTGTCCAAACTTTACAGGAATGATCAGTACCAAGTCTTGTTGTGCACTGTCTGTCTGTCTGTCTGTCCGTCTGTCACAAAATTTGTCCCCACAACTCCTCATAAACTACTGGGGCAATTTCATCCTAACTTTACTGGAATTTATGTCGCCACTACTTCGATCACTTCTCCGTCTGTCACAAAACTTGTCCCAACATGAAACTGGTCATCATGAGGCGACACGTGTGATCACTGATCGCTCTTGTTATTTTGGGCATTTGAAAGTAATCATTCCTACATTACCTGTTAAACAGACTATACATGTATATTATAATACATGTATATATTTCACAAGTACTCCCATTTTTGATTGAAACTTTTATTGTTGCATCATACGTTGAACATACAAGTATTGTGCAAAATAGAGTAATGATCATTACCAGGTCATTAATGTCAATCTTATAGAAAATTGCCTAAGATTTAAACAGATTAAAGCGGATATATCTGGCAAAGGAAATAGCAAATAAAAGAAATAAAATAAACGCTAAGCCTTGTGATCATTTGTAAGAGCTTGTTTTACTAATGCGTGTTTAAGTTACCCAATGAACATTAATTATCTAAGTAACAGGTAACTACAATATCCTAACAAAACATTATGCTGCTTTTTTCAAATATGTATATTCATCTTAAAAGCGCACAAATAAATTATTCTTTCTTGACAAAAGGCAGACATGGATTTTTTACTGTTTGATAAATGATTGCATGTTGCATGTGTGTTAACTGAAGAAAGAAGTGTTGAATATAAAAATATCTGTTATTAATGTAACTACATTTAAACAAAGTAGTAATTTCCATACTAAAGCGAAATCAATATAACTTAAATAAGTGCTAAAGAGCAACAGTAGTAACCTATTAGTAACACTATAACGAGATACCGTAGATAAAACACTTTACAGAAATAAAACTTAAACTTTTTCAGGGGCAGAATAATCTATAATTATTCAATTTATGTAAGTTACTATTATTCCAATCTCTATAATTACAATATTTAACGGGATTATATGACCTCCTTTTGCAGCTCTATACCCTCTAGTAACAATTATAACTGTGGATGACTGTTTGAACATTTCAGACATTTACTGATGTTGTTATGCCGAAAGACTTTGATAGAAAATCATCTGCTAACAAGAAAGTAAGGAAGGAAAATAGACACGGATCTGACATTCCTGGTATGATGATTAACATTATATCTTTCTCTGAGCTTTTTTATCACTATAATAATAATAATAATGATACATTTTTATGATTTAAAAACTAATAAGATCCATTCACTGATAGTGATAATAATAAATCAGTGCCACAAAGGGATGGAAATAATAAATAAAATACATTTTTAATTACATAAAATAGAAGTAGAATTTTGACTTAATGATCGTTTGGCAGACAGAGTGGATTAAATTTACTAAATATAAAATAATTATTAAAATTAACATGAGTTTGGATCTGTTAAAAAAGATTAGGAAACCAACCCGTAATTCAAAATTGTGTACAAACGTTGTTAAAATTTAAAAGTTTAAACATTCTTTGTATTTCAACAATATAATACCACACTGCGTTTTCAATAGAAAATAACCGTCTGTAAATATACCATATTTTTATGAAAATCTCATTTGAATAGAAAACCTTGCGAATGGTTTGTTAAATAAGTTTTAGGGTAATTCCCTGTTGTACATAAGGAAGTGATTTAAAGCCGAAAATAGATCTTTATACATAACATTTTAAGGCTTTAAAAAATAACATCCTATTTTATGTGTAGGCGATGATTACAGAGTGAGACTGTCATCAACAAAGCATGACTACATCAATGCTGTTTATGTTAATGTAAGTATTTGCGTAAAAGTAATTTTGATATCGTTTGAAGTTTCGATTGTCTCCCTTTTCAATATATTTTCATGAACCTTGCTTGCGTTGCCTCCCTTACTTTTATTGAATATATAAATTGCCTCCTTAGTTGTATTGATACATGTTATGGTGTATTTAAGACATAAATTATGATAAACAGATTTTAAATATCATCAAGTTATAGTATTAATTGAAATTATATTATATTATATTATATTATACTAAACTATATTATATGATATTATATTTACTTAATATCTCAATTTCAGGGATATGAAAATCCAAACAAATTCATTGCATCACAGACGCCAATGCCAAATACAGTTGAAGACTTTATATCGATGCTTTTTCAAGAAAAATGTGCTTGTGTTATTAATTTGGACGACGAAAACCTAAAAGATAAAGTTAGTGCACATTTATAGATTATCTAGCGTGTTTAAAATAATTATATAATTTTTTTTATTTAATAGTATTCGTTGGCAAATTAATCCATACATAACATATTTCTTTTTAGCGTCGTTTTAAAACAAAAATTAAGGCAATACAAATGTTTGCTTTAAACAAATGTTGGGAGTTGGGGTGGGTAAACAAAGAATCACCTTTAAAGCTTTAAGACTCTAAGATGTCTTTGAATTCTAAATCATTCTATTTATATGTTACTTTATGTACATACCAAATCATAATTTAGACTGATTTTGAATGTTTGCTAAACATTCTGATCAAATGTTATTATTGATTTTCACAGAAACTGATTGAAAAAAATGATATTTCATTTTATTTAGGTTTGTCACTTTTGAATATTAATCGTTTCAGTCTATCGGACATTATCTACCGCAAGATGGAAAGGTGTTCAAAGTTGGACATTTCCAAGTAACTTGTAAGACGGTTGACACAACGGATTATGGTACAATACGGGACATGACAATATCGCGCACTGGATTGGTAGATGTTTTATTATTTATTTAGATGAAAATAAGTTATGAGAATTATTACGCCAGATCTTTTTGATGTCCCGTTTAATGCATAAAAGTTTAGGCTTTGGCTTTTTTCCAGATTCGAACATTTTTGTTTTTCATTTTACATACTTCACCTCATTCACTTTATTCACTGTTCAAGATGATACATAATCCTGCAAGAACAATGAAGATTTGGAAAAAGCAAAGGTGTAAATTATTTGGGAGTTTTCAGTTGTAGCTGGTCAAAAATTCATTATTAGCTCGACTATACGAAGTATATGGAAGGCTGTCCTACTCGCCCCGGCGTTCGAGTCCGCGTCCAGATTTCAGATTTAAGTTTTGGTGCAGTAAAATATTTTTCACTATAACTTTGTAATTTCTTAAGGTATCAACTTCAATATATGTTCTTTATCATCGACCACATCTTATGTGTCAAGGTTCATAACTCTAGCACCAATATTTTCAGACTTATCTCCCCTTGAACTTAGCATTTTCCTTAAAAAATACTATTTTTTACTGTTACTTCTTTATTTTATAAGGGTTCAACTTCATACTTCAAATATATGTACCTTATCATCGTCCCCATCTTATGTGACAAGGTTCATAACTCTAGCACCATTATTTTTAGATTTATCTCCCTTTGAATTTAGAATTTCCTTAAAAATATTATTTTTCACTGTTACTTAATTATTTCTTAAGGGATCAACTTCATACTTCAAATATATGTACGTTATCATTAACCACATGTTATGTGACAAGGTTCAATACTCTAGCATTAATATTACAAAAATTATCTCCCCATAAACTTAGATTTTTTACTAGAATTTTTTTATTTTTTTACTATAAAGGTATCTACCTCAGACTTCAGATATTTATTCCTTATAATCAATTACATTTTATGTGACAATGTTTATAACTCTTGAAGCAAGATTTACAGATTTATCTCTCTTTGAACTTAGGATTTTCTTTATGAAATATTATTCTTCTTTACTTTTTAAGGTATCTACTTCAAACTTCAAATATATATTTCTTATCATTACACATGTTGTGTGACAAGGGTCATAACTCTAGCATGACTATTTCTAGAATTATTCCCCTTGATCTTGGAATTTATGTTAACAATGTTATTTTTTTACTATAATTTTATACATAATTTTACATAATTGATAGTTGTTTTTTTCATGTTTTTTCATAGTTTTGTCTTCCTGTGTCCAGTATTTTATTAGTCGAGCTTCGCTGTCTCCTGTGACAGCTCTTGTTATATAATTTCAATCCCGAACGTCCTTACGTTTATGATAACCGAATGTCGCTTTAAATAACCCTGATAAATGCATTACATTAAGTAACGTAAAACAATAGGTCTTTTTATACTTTATATTTAAAACCACTGTATATCAGGTATATTTTATGAACACTTTATGGCAAACTTTTGTTACATACAGCACCTTTCTGGAGGAGAGCTGCATTTGAAACATTACCAGTATAACGGATGGAATCAGTCAGAAAACGTCCCATCTATGGTTGAGCCGTTTTTAGAGCTGGCCAAGGATGTTGAGGATGAGATCAAAGGTCAAAGAGTAGATAGACCAATCGTAGTTCATTGCTTGTAAGTATTGCTATTTGCGAGATCAATTTTTCATAATTAATTCGATTTATTGTTGTTCCGCTATAAAGAGGAATCATACTACTTGTATGCCTGTGCATTTGATTGTGTAGCTAAATTTATACGTGTGTGTTTGAATCGGCTTGTATCTTTTTTGAAAGTTGTTGCATATGTTATTTTGTTATATATAGGACTGGAGCTGAACGAAGCTGTTTATTTTGTGCTGTCTCTGTTATATCAGAAAAGTGTTTCTTTGAGAATGAAATTAGTGTCCTGAATACCATTTGCCAACTGCGTTCAAGGAGGAAGTCAGCTTTTACCGACATTGTAAGTAATAAATTAACTACCCTCATAAAAGGCATTGTGAATTAGCTCTAAATTTAAGGTACTATCTTAATATGCAGTTTCGAAAAACTATTCTCCTATTCTTGGGCCTTCTTATTTAAGTTGTTCTTTTTGACGAGCTATTAAGTCAAAAGTTGTCTATTGTCAACTTCACATTGCATAAATAAGTAAACATGTGCCCTATACGAATATCACCCAACGTTATCATTATTTTGAACTTTTCTGATTTTCAGAATTTTCATCTTAATAAATCCTTTCGCAAACATGTATTTTTACTTAGCATTTTTATCTTCTCGGCAAATATAGTCGGTAAAATAAATTCGCCTTTATTGTCCAAATTTCAAGGCCAAAACATTTCCCTATGTCTACCAAAGGAAGAGTTCTGGATTGTTTAAATTAAAACATAAAATAAAACACAAAAAAATACAAGTTTATTGTTAACAAATTGATATCATGGAGAATTAAATTAAATTAAATTATTATTATTTATTAAATTATTTAGGTCTAAATTATTAATTTACATTTATTTCAGACAACAATTTTCAGGTTTTGTTTACCAACATGTAAAATATCTTGCTGGCGATTTTCCGAAAGAAGAATACTATAAAATTAATGAACGAGCTGTTTTGTAAAATGGGGTTTGAAGAAAATTCGTCTTTTTACGATCAATTAAATTACTTGCCCATTGTCCATTTTTTACACAAATTTGACACTTTTTAAAGGCTTGAAAAATGCCTAATAGCTTTTTTTTTTCGGAAAGTTTTTTTTTGTGTGCCCTCTTGCAATCTCTGAAAATACATATTTCTCATTGGCCATGCATAAAGTTGAGCCATAATGTTTTAGTGTTGTTTTCGCAAAAAATCAGTTATAGTCTTTTGGTATTTTATGCAATTTTGTTAACATTTCCTAACCTTTATTTTAAAAATATTTCACCTCTTCGAGCACCGTTTTCTTCAGGTGATATGCATCTACACGTTCTTAATTCAATTTTACAACATAACAATGCCTTTTTCTTCTGAAAGAATACTCATTTTTTTTAAAACATGTAAAGACGCGTTTATAAATATGAAAGACATTTACACGGTACAGTATTGTCATGTTTTGAAATATTGTTATAGCGGTTTTCTAACAGCTTTTTGTTTATCTAAAGTCGCATGTATTTGTTATTTCCGATGCATTTAGCGAACAGTATGCATTTGTGTGCTTAATATAAACATTTCGATTTTATTTTACTATGTTCCGGGTCATTTTATTTTATTAATGAAAAACATGATACTAATTTGCTCATTGAATATTTAAAAGTATATAATTAAATGATATAATATAAGACTGTCACATTTCATGCAAGTAAATATTTAAGTTCGGGATTGTTCTATTTTTTCTCAACATGATATTATCAATATTATGACAAAAGAGATTACATATACCATTATGAATCCAGAATCCAGTAGTGGTATAAGAAACTGGTAGAAAAATAACTACTATTTAACTTTTATATCTGCCATGTGTAATAAAAATAAATATATAAATAATTTAAACAAATTATATTATGATTATGATAAAAGAAAGTATCAGTTTTATGAAAAATCAATATATAAATCAATATATTAAAGAAATAACTGCCTTTAACGTATATTATATGAGTGAAATATTATTCTGTGTGTAAGTCTTTGCTTTATGGCTTATATAAATTAAGTATTTATTGTACCAATTTTGCTTCTTTCCCTAAAAGTAAGTTTTTATCCAAAAAGGTTTATGAGCTATAATGACTTTTATAACTAAAGTTTATATATTTCATTTCATCTCATGAGCGGAATCAATAAACGGAGTCTGAAATTGTCAACTATTTTCCTTTTGCATAGCTCTCGAGTATCCTTACATTTTAACACAGTATAGCATATTATATAATAACATAAGAATAAAATACAGACTCTTCATAAAGCATGTATTCTTAACTAGAAGTTCAGGTTTAGAAAAGATATATTTATGATAAAGCTTTTCTTACTGTGTTTTACGGGTTATGCTTTTATTTTATAAATTATGATAATCAAAATATATAAGTAAATATTTATCTTTATAGAAGAGATTTATACACTTGAGCATTTTAAACTAGATTCGAAAAGTAAATGTTAATTGAACAAGTTCATTAAGTTGCTATTAACTAATTCAGCCTGTCGAAATACAGTTTATAATCCAACATCGGTTAATAATCTGTCCAAGAGTTGTATAGAAATAAAGTATCTCCAACGTACATATTAAATTTATTATGTTTTAAATAAAAGTGGTTTTAAAATAATAGTCTTTTCAACATAGATTTTCAACATCTTCCTATTGGTTAGCATTGATATCCTCTCCATTACTGGTTAATTAACTATAGATCTTTTCAGCATGTATCTTGAAAGTACAGACATTTAAATTACAGATGAAGACTGTAGCTAGCTCTTTAATCACTGTTGTCACTTTAGTCACTTAAGCTTCTTCTGCATGAGTTCTTCGCAGATATAGTTCTATAGTTGATCTCGAACTATATGGTTTATTAATTCAACACATACATTGACATTTGAAAAAAAAAAAATGTTTTTTCACATTCCACCATTGGTGTTAAATAATTAAGGTATCCTATTGCAAAATTTGTATACGTCTTGCATTTATTTTTACAATTTATTGTTACACTGCTGTATGCTATAATTGTTAGCTTTGTAATACTAACGCTTTAATAAATTAATGACATGAAAAATTATTGAAGATGTTCAAATAAATACGAGTTAAAAAATTACATTATTTATAGTTATTTTTTGTTCCATATGCTAGTGGGTGACATAACATTTTGCCTATTAAAGCCAAGCCACAAACCGAATGCCAAATAGGCTCAGATTCGGCGTTCCTATTGAACAGTTCCTGTGTTTTTTTTTTTCACATTCCTACATTATGCGTAATCACTGTAATAATCAGTCAACAAACTTCCTACAATGGAAAATAGTACATACACGAGGGTTGTCCAAAATATTCGTGCACTGCAGTTATTGTCGAGAGAGTTATTGATAAAACAACATGAATTATATATCACTTGAAGGGTGATCTGTCTCAAATAAGAAACCAAAAGATTAAGCCGTGTAACTGGCATGTCGTGAAAATTGTCATACAGTTACCTTAGTAACGTCTTACCGTCGCACGACAAAAAATTGGGTAAGTTCATTACTGTGATTGTATTATTTTTTGTTGCTAGTAAAGTGGCATTTGCTTTGCATATCATAATTTGTTTTACTGTCAATAGAGGAATGATTGATGCAAAGTATTCTGTAGTTTTTATTGTTCTTATACAACGTACATGTAGCATATTCCACCAGTGCACGAATATATTGGACAACCCTCGTCACATGCGCCTGCATTACGGACGGATATCTGCCTGATTGGTTGTCATCGTCTACCGACTCTCGCCCCTCTAAAGAGAGTTTGTGCCATTTAAAAACCAGACTTTCATGACGCTGAACTGGCCCCGCTTCCCCCTTTAAGTTCTTTATAGGTATCTCTCGGTGTTTCACCAATATTTGCGCAAAATTTAATGTCATCCGTATTTCCAGACGTTTAGAGACTGACATTTTCACGTAATGACAGTATTGACGACCACACAGAAATGTTTGTTCACAATCGTTACAAAAGCGCAAATGACGTCATATTTTCTAATAACGTCAGGAATACGTACACACACTTTTCCCTAAATTTTGATGTTTAATTTTAATGTTTTAAGGACACTGTGATACATCAAAATAATGAACTAACCCAATTTTATGTCGTGCGCCGGTATTACGTTACCTAGGTAACTGTATGATGATTCATTTTCTTCTCGACACGTCGGGTACACAGGTTTTTTTTTGTTTTCTTATTACAGATAAATTTCCCCTTCAAGTGATATATAATTCATGTCTTTTTATCAATAACTCTCACGACAATTACTACAGTGCACGAATTTTTTGGACAACCCTCGTATATATTATAATTATACGACGTCAAGCAATCATTACATTTGTGCATCGGTACTGCCAAAAAAAGTAAAAACATTTATTTATTTACTTTTTTATTTTTAATTCAATTCTTGCTATAGAGGCATTGTGTAAAATACATAACATTGAGTTGACTTAAAGGACATTGATTGGTTTTCATCTATGTGATCTTACTTTCAAAAGACTCTGAACAGAGAAGCAAAATTGTGAAAATATATTTTATGAGGTTAAATGCTGAAAAAAGAGAAAAGATTTCTCGGTCAAAGCGAAGAAATGATAAACACTGATACACTAGATACTTTTGGAGGTTTAATAACAATTTTCTTTACCGCCATTTAAGAAGATCAAAGACTCAGTGTAAATTTATAATGATTTAAACACGTGTTATACATTATAGGAATATGAATATGCTATGTCCCAGATTGTCCTATAAATATTTCAACTTGCTCCACCTTATTTTCGCTGCACTTAACGTAGTGTACTTTCATATTTTAAAATATCAATCATTATGGTGATATGCATAACTAAGACTATCATACACTAAGCATTATAATCAATTAGACAGATTAAAGATTGAACAAGAAAAATAATATACATTAATCTAATTTTGGCTAGAGGACGAGCATTTTCCTAATTTGATTATCCTTAAGGGGCTTGAAGGATGCTTGATATCTTCGTGTCGAACTAAGAAGAATTCCGACCTAAAACTAAACGATAAGACTAATAAAAGTACACGATGTGACTAGTATAGGGGAAAATGTCCAGACTATTTTTTAAAAGAAGCATATTATTCAGATAGATAAATTATTTCGAAAGACACAAAAATAATTCATATATTGCAAATCAACCAACAACGATCGAAATTTTGCGTATATCACTTCTTTTATCTTTGAATTCAAATTATTTTAGATGGTCTTATGTGTACAAAAGTGCATTTAAAATTTAAATTTAGAATTAAACTGAACAGATCAGATCTAATATTTTGTGAATTGTAGAGGAAAAAGGTTTGTTAATTCGGTTTACAATCGAGGCGCGTTATGTGACATTTATGTTTATCTTTTACAATCACATCGTCCTTAGAGCATATTCTAATTGTTTTTATCTAATTGCAACATCTTAATATATCAATTTATGACATCAGTCTTTCGAATTTTGTCTTGCTTTCTTGCAATATGTGCAAACTTCGTATGTAAGATTTATAAGATCAGCAAAACTTACAGAAAGTAATGACACAGGAATTCTGCAAAAGAAAAAGAGGACAATCTGTGCAAAAATATTGCCGACAGAAGTAACACAGAAAGTAAGCATACCAAATTATCTGACACAAATTTAATTGAAAGCAATAAATAGATACTATAAATATTTACAAAAATAGTTTTGCCTTTAAAGATCATTTTTCGTGGGAATGACGACCTGGCTAACGTTTTATGTTCGTTCATTGTGTAATTAGTACAATGTAGCATAAACAATTGAGAAAAATGTGATTAAGACACTTTTTATGAGGTCACAAGCATTGCCTCGGTGCAACATTTACGAAATTTGAGGGTCTTTGTAACAAATATCATTATCAAACTTTATTTACTAACTTTAGTATTTTTGACACGAATAGGTTAGTTAATATCTTAAGTATACAGAAATTAAATAACATTGTAAACATTTATTAATATAACTGTCTTGATAAGGCAATAAATATGTTGCTTAAAATACAACTGTGGTGCTCATTCAAGCCTTATTTACACGGTGTATCCTAGAAAGCCAGTTAGGTGGATGGACCGCGTAAAAACATCAGGAAAACAAACAAACAATATCACAGATGGCACTGATGTACATTCGATACTGTTAAAATAGTTTTAATAATTACAAATAAAGCTACTAATGATTTTGTTTACTTGGGGACCATACGCCGCTTTTCATGGAAAGGCACGAAAGTTTGTCGCATTGAAGGTTCCAGGATAACCGCCTTTTGAACACATCTGCGGGTGTTTCTAAATTCAAAATTGTACCCTTTATCATGTCTAAATGTTAAATTCTGCGTAATCCGGTGCTATGGGACTTGGACGGTAACTTGCACTGTAATACTATGTTTGAATAAAATTGTACATGATAACTGATGTAAATTGCAAAGTGCATGCATTCTGTAATAGGTGTTTAAAATTCTATGTGCTTTCCAAAGCTTTTTTATCTATTCATGTTCTCTTTTATGCATCACTGTTTCATGGTATTATGTCCATCGTATGTAAATACAGTTAGTTTCATTTGAGAATTATAAACGACTTGTTTTGTCCTTAGCAGCAAATGAACTTACAAAGTAACCTGCGCTAATTATACTACTTGTATGAACACTTGGTTACAACATTTAACAATTTAATCTGTTTAAAAGATTATTATTTTCTCTGCTCCTACATATCATATAAACGCATTGAGTCTTTCTACTCTTTTTCTTTTCTTGCATGTACCTTATGGTACATTGTATAAGATGTTTATTCAAAACACCATACTGAACTGATTTCACATTTTAATCCTACATTTGACGGGATTTAATTTTCTTCAACGTAATTGGAATACCAGCATTTCTATCAATTGTAATTGCTCATAGCGGAAGTTAAAATTAATGCACTTAATGGACATAATTGTTCTTGGTGTATTCAGTCTATAGTGAAATTTATCGTTGACATTACTATTTTAGATCATTCGAAACATAAATAGGCACCGTGTATATCTCAGCCATTAGCGAATTAATCGTGTCATATTACACTAGAATAAGCTGTTAAAACGTGACTGAGACAAGTTTTACGAGGTTACGCCTAAATCATGAAATTCAATGATGGATCGAAACAACGCTCGGTATCATAAAAAAGTCGTTTACTAAATATTTATAAACATGTCTCTAGTTTGTAGAGTACCTTATCTCTGTAGTTCGACATCCTTATACGAAGTTTGACGGAACAAGAATGGAAATCGAAGCTCGAAAATTGAACATTTAAAACAATTACCTGACTAAAATGTAAATTAAGTTTTACAAAATGAAGCTGATTTATTGATTAAGAATTGGCTCAATTGTTCCCACTGACCAAACATATTTATTGAACATGTTTAAGTAGTTTTAAACATTATTGAACATGTTTAAGTAGTTTTAAACATATATATGATAAAATAAATTCCGTTTCAATATAGATGCGCAACTGGAAATCTTGCAAACAAAATATTTCATTCAGACTCGAAAGTGAATTATTCAAATCATTTTCAAAATAATCAATTTTGCCACAGTTACAAAAGAAATTGTTAAAACTCTTTTGTTGAGAAGTGTAGTAATTGGTCCTTTTAAAATACAGGTATGAACAAAATACCGTCTGGCGACCTAAACTTCATTACTTCATAATTTCAACTCTTTAACAAATTCAGCTTTATAAATACTTGAATTCAATTTCTGGAGTAGATTTTTCAAATGCGCGAAGATACCAAATTATACTAAGATAATAAATTTACTGCGTTAAAAAAGCTCAAAACTTGTAAATGCATTCGAACATATAAATCCTTTTAAATTATTATTATACATCTAAAAAATAGCGCTAAGCACTTAGTATCCCCATATAGAAAGTCACTGATGCATACTGTATCCAATTCAAAACTTTATATTCTTTACACAAATATGTAAAGAGGAAGTTTTGAACAAGTTTTATTTTTTTAATGATTAAACAGATAGGTATGTATTACCACCATTGTTGTTTACATTTATATTTCAAAAAAGAAGCTATTTTGCTTTAAATTAACACTAATAGGAAAAAACGGATAGGATATTGGTATTGTAAGAACGTTTTGACTCTTTATCATTTTAAAAATTTATAATTTTAAAGTCTCACTACTTTTGTTTTAGCTTAATAGTACCTTTATTCTTAATGTTAGACGTTCAAAATGTCTAAAACTGTTTTATTACAATGAATATTATTAACTTCTAAGACTAATAATATACTATAAGTGTCATTTCATCTTTTAAGTAAAAGTATACCCAAAAATGAAGATTATAAACGCAGCATCGTGTAGTAAATGCTTTTACATTTGAAAACATTTCAATAAGTTAATCACACCATTATCAATATGTATACAATTACTTTCTTTAGATTAGACTGCATACATGGATACGAAGGAAATTTCAGCATTGGTAATAGTACAGTTTGTTGATATGGTATTTGCTGGTAAGTAGTTTTATTTCATAACATTTTTAACTGTGGAATACTTTTTCTTTATTGCCTTAGATGTATTATTAAATATTGAAAACTTTAATCACTTGGCCTAATATTAATCATATTCGGTTGAACACAAAGATTAACATTAAGTTCGTTTTATGGTCACGTCTATTAAACTGGGTAAGGATTTAATTGTTTTATTATTTTGTATATATGGTAATACATATATCTAAACATATGTAAATAGTTGAAATATATAAATGTTTACAGAATGTAATGTTGGCTGCCAATCATGCTCTGGTTCAACTTGCACAAGTTGTGAATCATCTTACTATTTATCAAGTGGCTTCTGTTTGCCATGCCCCGAGGATTGTGAAAGTTGTAACAGCTGGGATGACTGTACGTCATGTAAGCCGAAAAAGTTAAGTTTGCAAGGAAGATGTACTTTCAACTGTGATGGCAATTGTCTAAATAGTGAATGCGATGATGGTACTGGATATTGTACTCAGTGTAAGCCTGGTTTCTATGGACTTCAATGTCAACATAACTGTAGTTTATGTGCCGATGAACGTTGTGATTTACGTACATGCTCAAGTGGTTGTAGAGCTGGATATTATGAGTATAAGAGCGATGTCGTTACACTATGTCAAACATGTCCGTCAAATTGTAAACATTGTAGGGATGGAAAAACATGTAATATTTGCAATCATGGTTTTCATCTCTTTAAGTTTAATAACAACGTTCACTGTGTTTCATGTTTCCAAGACACGCAATGTCCAGACTGTTTTATTGAAGGTTGTAATAAGTGTCAAGTACACAATGATTCGTTAGTCTGCGCTGATTGTCCAGAAGGACAAATATTTAATGGTAAAACTTGCGGGTCACACACATCATCCTGCTCACAAGAATGTTCTACGGATTGTGATAGTAATGGAATATGTCAAGGAGAATGTAATGCGGGTTGGACTGGTGAAACATGTTCAGAAACATGTAACAGCAAGTGTTTTAAGTGCCCAAAAGATAACGCAAATAGTTGTCTACTGTGTAAAGGTAATTTTTACTCAACCGATTGCAGTTTAGAATGCAATCATGCATGCATATTGATAAATGATAAACGTACATGTGAACAGACAGACGAATATTGTTTGAACGAATGTAACCAATCATTTTGGGACGATACATGCGAGAAACATTGTCCTAGTGGATGTAAAGATCTTAAATGTGATAGAAACAACGGTACTTGTACAGATGGATGTAAGGATGGACTGATCGGCGATGGATGTACTCAAATAATCACAATCGGTAAACAGTGTGCATATGATTTCTATGATGTTTGTTTGTTTTGGGTTTTACGTCACATCGACACAGTATAGGTCATGATGAATTTATTTCAAAATAATTTATTAAATATATAAGTGACTGATTTGGATTAAATCAAATTCATTATCACAATAAATAAATAAATGAAATAATTTGCCTTTTCTTTCGATATTAAGGAATATTAGAAATACTTCGTCTTGTTTAAACTTGTTAGCATTACTATAGATGTTGGTTACTATCATGTACGCAGGTATTAGTTTATACGTACGAATGTTTAAACTTGTTGCAGGTAACAAAAATCATAGTACTTAACCTTAGCCATTTGCACTGAATAAAACTCATAGCAAACATAGATATATGATAATATTTTTTTCACCTGTAATAAACCCTGTCTCGAGGGCTGTGTTGATCTTAAAAGACTGTTTGTGCAGTTTATGACAAGAAAATTGTGCCAGTAATCAATAGAGCGTTGTTATGATGATGTTTATTACAAGTCAATGTTATATCTACAGAAATATCAGTAACAACAACAACAATGTCAGCCGAAACTGTTACACAACAACAAACATTTGTGCGACGTGACGATAAAGCTCATTATTTAACCATTGGTTATTTCTCTGGATTTGGATCTTGTGCTGCCATAGTAGTATTTGCTGTATTGTTTTACCTATCTAGAAGAAGGTGAACGTATTCACTAATTTAATTCTATACAATATGTGCATGTGTTCTTAATGTAAAACAAATTATCTTTACTTGTGAATTTTAATAATAATGATAATAAACATGATGTTATTGTTGCTATTTAATTATTATTTAATTGTTAATTTTGAACTATCAAGTTTATTATGTCGGCTGTTACTTGCATCTTTACCTAATTCTTAAAGTACACGTTATATGCAAATATGTATAGTAATATTATTAATTTTATTATTTAGTTTAAACATATTTTATTCATAATCATACACAGTACATAATATACAATCATTCAATATATACAATGATGAAATGGATTAGAACGAAAGATATAAAATCTTATATAGTTCTTCTCCGACTCTATTTTGAATTAACAACAAAGTGATGGCATCAATCTACTGAGACAATGTGTATGAATTCATATACATATATTAGATATACATATGTTAGAAAAAAAACCTTAAGAATACATACATATTCAGACATATATAATAAATTGGGGGAATTAGTTGTAAATATAACGTTATCCTAGCACATTAAGAACTGACTTGCTTTGGCTGGTTCTGGAGAATACAAATTTAATGGTAAAAAAACGACTGTGATAATGAGTACAAGATGTATTAATAAATCATGTTTCGAACCTCTTACTTAGTTTGATATATTTATGAACTGCAGAAAATATAATCTCATTTGCTTCAATTGATTTGGATTCCGTTCCGAACAAGATGATCTCTAATGAAGAAGCTATAATATTTGATACTTTATTAAACAGAATACATCTTATGTTATCAAATCTTTGACATTCATAGAAATAGTGGTAGGTTGACTCAATTTCACCACACAGACAAAGGGGCGATTGAACAATATTCTTTAAAAATAAATGTTGATTGAGAGAGTTGCAATTTCTCCGGAGTCGCGTGTGAAGTATTTGATATTTCCTGTCACCGTAATAGAATAAAGAATAGCTTTTGCTACTTCCCTGATTTAGGAGAGACTTAAAGTTGTTTAATGAGTTTGCATTTCTTACATTGAGTGGTATCTCATTCCATTCTTTTAATGTTGAAGGAACAAAAGAATTAGCGTATAGAGAAGTTCTTGTAGGTATAATTTGGAGATTTGTTGAGTTACGAAGATTATACTGACTTGTTTCATCTACTGTATTAGGAACAAGATTACACAGATATTCAGGAGAAATCCCATTTATCATCTTAAAGAATAAAATTAATTTATGATAAATTTTATTATTTAATACAGGTAGCTCGCGAATAAAACGTTTAAAGATAATATACCTAACATTGAGAATCCAACATACTATAACACAAGAACTGATGTCGGAGATGCAAATGCTGAATCAGCTGATCATGACGTGACGAATAATTACGAGAGTTTGAGTAATAAGAGGACCACAGATAATGTATACAATGGTAATTGTTATCTTTTTTTACTTGATAAATCTCATATTAATTTTACTTTAAGTACTTGATTGAAATATTGTTGTTCTAATATGTATTAATTTATTTATTTATTTATTTACTTATTTATTTATTTATTTATTTTCAGATCTAAGAACAGCATTGTCATAGACGTAAGGAAAACGAGTTTTAGTGATTTTCTAGTGAAACCAACAAAATTTTTTTATTTGTTTGTTTTGAATTTTACGTCACATCGACACAGTATAGGTCATATCGCGACGTTCCAGCTTTACTGGTGGAGGAAGACCTCAGGTGCCCTTACGTGCATTATTTCAGGCACGAACGGACACCTGAGTAGAACCACCGACGTTCAGTAAGCTAGGTGGATAGCTTCCTCACATAAAAGAATCCAAAGTCCCTGTCGGGATTCGAACTCACAGCGGTGAGGGACAAGTGGTTTGAAGTCAACAACCATAACCACTCGGCCACGGACGCCCCAACCTGTATTTAAAACAGCTGTAAAGCAGTACAACTGTATTTTGGACCCGTATAAAAATACGGTTAATTCACATATTTCGTTCATAGTACAGGTGTAAAACGGCTGTATTTTTGAAAAAATACAGACGTAATTTGCTATAAGTTTATCTGAACTGGAGAAAAATACAGCTGTAATTTTAACAGAAAAACAGGTGTATTTTAGGCAAAAATACAGGAGTAAAATTTCGTACAAGATAGTTTTCTTTTTCAAGTCTTGCTACTGTAAAAAGTGTCAATTTCCTAATGCAAAAAATAAACTTTAGGTTCTTTTTCTTTAATTTGTAGCTGGCACTTACACAACCAGCACGACAATGTGATACGCTTCAATTCTACAATTAAGTCCACTTGTACTGACATTTTGTATTCTAACACTCAAGATTATAAAACATATATATATTTTTTAAGAAAAATACTGTATCCACAACTGTATAAATAATAAGAGTATAGAAAATCGGAATCCCTAAAGAACGCAAAAAAACGGTAAAATTTAAAATGTTGCAGACTTGGTTTGTTAAGGCCTGTTAATGGAGTGGTTGATTAAGTTGACATCGGAATTTGGAAGAGCAAATGAATGAACCATACTGACATCAATCCCTACAAAAAAAAACATATACACATCCAAATGACAACCCATTTTAAAATACACAACGAATGATCACAGGTGGTCCTTACTTTGGAGGAGAAGTTTTCACCTCTATGGCTGAACAAATTTTATGACTGGTCAGACATAAGTATATAAATATTGAGAATAAAATCAAACAAGGTCGACAGAGAAGTCTTTCTTGGAAAATATCAACCAGAAAATCAATTGATTACATATGAATAAATCTTTTTTCCAAAAATTGAATAGACAGCACATGTTTGATCTATAGATTTAATGAACAGGTAACAGAGAAACAATAATTTCATTTTTTTTGTAAATAGACTGAACATATTGGCAACAGATAAAATGAATTATCATTCAAGGTTATATTACAGGATAAAAAGGATATATGTGAAAACTTGCTATATTAATATAACATAAAGTTGAACAATTATAAATATAAAACTATGAAAGATACAGCCTCACGATGTGGTGATTGTTTCATATATAAAAATT